TGATTGTTCATTTAATGTTATCATCAGATCAAATATTGTCTCACTTTGTCGAGTGCTTACACACACACGACATGTGTAAATGTGTTTGACAGCCTGGAGGAAACAGCACCTCTGATAAGAAACTCGATCTTGTCCAATTCACTGACATCGCTGCCTACATACCCCCCACCTACCGCCAACACCACCCCCAACCCAGTCTCAATTTACTTTTTGCAATTGGGCTGTCCATCCCTGTTTTCATTTCCATCCCGTTCTGTTTCTCGTATGTCACTTTCTCTGCATGCTCCAATGTTTCTCCATTCATCTCAGTCTAATTTATAGGACGTGTCAAATGAAATGCCGTGGGTGTGGACATACTGACATTAATTGAGTAAGAATATTTCATATACTCACAATGTAAATGATTGTGGCAGCCACAAACCATGCTTTGATATTTCCTGTGTTATTAATTGTTGTCGCATTAATGCTATGAACATTTCTTATTTCAGAATACTTCTATTACATCAAATTTAATCACTCAAAAACATAACAGCAGAGAGGGAATCAAACACTCCTCCTCCTCCTCCTCTCTTGAAATTGACTGGCAGTCTGGACAGGTATGAGAATCTTTATCCACTTAATTCAATGAAACCTCATTTTATTTCAAGCTCATCTAATATAACTGCAATTATCTCCCCAGTTTCTGCTGTGGAGGACCAGATGGTGCAGAGATAATGAACTGCACACTTGTCAAGTAAGCTGCCTCTTGTCCTTGAAAATAGACGGTGTCGTTCTGGGAGATAGCGCTCACCCCTCGATTAAAAACTTTTCTGCTGAGATGGATTGTTTCTTTTACTTTCCAGCAACAGAAGCTCAACCTTCTGTTGCTCTGGTGCCGGTACGCCCAAATGTGTAGTGTTACAAGTGGCAAAACATCAGCTGGGAGTGTATTTATTGTATCTATTAATTAAAAATCATGTATTTGTGGAGGACAAGAAAATCTGTCAATTGATTGTGTTAGAGCAGAGTTGCCCCAACACAAAGCCCCAAACTGTTTATAGCATAGCGATGCAGGACAGTGCCACCAAAAGGCTTTCAGCTAAACGTCTCACCCGCTGCTCACTAGAACCACGCAGTTACAAATAAAAACGTTCACTGGTCTCATCTATTGGGACCACTTTTTTCCACAATACAAACAAGGAAATCTATTTGGCTTTATTCCAGTTGGTTTCTAAGTCGGATGCTTTGAGACAGAAATCCATTCAGATGTACAGTGGCTGTGAAGTGAAACTGCTCCGATGTCGAAACTGTAGCTAAAGGAAACAACTGGACTTAGTGCTGTTTCTGTTTTTGTACATATTTTGTTCTTACCAGATAATATTTTAGTTACGTGACTCTTCCATGGATTACTTTACTTTGTCTCCTTGATTTTGGCGTCAGTGTTTATTGAGGCACCTTGTCACTCCTGAGAGAGACTCCTTAAAGCAGAGGAGTTACAAGCTGATGCACATGGGCACACACAAACACCGCCAAAGAGAAATGGGCGTTTATATATATATATATTTTAAAAAGGGCTCCCAATAATGAAGAAAATAAAAATACACCATTCCCTACAGAAATAATGTTTTTGTCATCTGCCTGTATGCGCACCTGTGTGCCTGTGCACATCAGCATACTTGTTAAAATTCTGCTGTTTTGTCGCTCTAAATTCAAAATCTGCTTTCAGCTTCCCTCCAACTCTAAGCCGGCAAAGAAAATATTCTGGTTAGATCATCATTTATTCAGTGCACTCAGAGATGGGAAAGCACCTCCCTGGAGCAGCCCTGAATCTTGAAAACTGGTGAAGTTTTGAGCACTAAAAATATTCCAGTTAGTTTCAAGCCCATAGGCCACTGCTACTCCTCTTCTACTTATCGGTGGTCAAGTGATCAATAAAGCAGCAGCTGAAATATGACCTGGAGAAGTGGATCACCTTGATGCATCAGTTTGTGTTTTGAGAGTCTTTTACTCTCCGGTGGAGTGCAGGATATGAATCCTGCTACTGGGTATGATGTATATTAGTTTAAAAAACCTCACCCTGTTAGTGATATGCTCTCAAATAACAGATACGCCTTACTCAAGCCTGCTAACTTCCCAAACCTGATTACCGAGGGAAGTTCTGAGGAAGTGATCTCACTGTGGTCTCTTCCTACTCTCTTTTGGTCAGCCACAACATGCCCTCGAAGTCAGAGTCCGGATGAGGCTGGTGAGGTTTTCAGTGCAGAAGCTACAAGAGCAAAAATGCAGATACTGAACGGATCAGTGAAATGTTCACTGACAATGGATTTTCTTTTGTTCTCTGCAAATTTTTTGGGATCAAAAATCATTCGTGAAACATAACGCTGCTACCACTTGAGGCAGCAGCAGTATGTACACAACAAAAAAAGTCATCTGGTGTTGCGTAATAGCAAGACTTGCATTAAAAAAAGAAGTCAGACTGTGCACTTACTACCCTGTAGTGCTGCAGCAGCTGGAGAAGGAATATTCTTGCACTCATTATGTTTGAATAATAATTCCCTTTGCTTTGTCGGCATAAGTTCAAATCTCTTGACATCTTGTGTGTAAACCAAACAAACACACATTCAAAATCTAAACCTTACCACACTCTCTCTCTGTCTCTATCTTAAACACACATTTTGACACAGACACATACACATGCACAGTAGCTATAATATATCCACAGACCCATACTCAGTGAACCCAGTGGCCACATCCAGTGCTTGCAGGGCTTTCTATTCTTTGCTCCAGTTATGTCTAACTAGTGAGAGGGAAGCCCTGGTGTACTGCAGCTAAAAGCCAAGTCCCACCACAGAATGAATAATGAATACAGATTCCCCATCCAGTCTATCCGCACACTATTTCAAAGGCGTCCTGCTAATCCATGCATAAAGCAACAAGACACACAACTCTATGCTAATGGCCCTCAATTCCAGGGGCTGGACTGAGCTTACTGAACCATGCAAGTGTTCCTATGCAGAGGATGAAGACGTCAGATGAAGAGGGTGTGAAGAGGAATTGCTCCAATGTTTGGGGCAGTGGATGGGCAGCTAGGCAAACAGTGCATGTACACTTGGGCACCAGCAGAATGCAATACACCCACACACATTATACATTCTCATGAACTACTGAAAGCACAATTTGTCCCAAGGGAAGCCTGGACATGTTATTGATGCTGAGTGACGCTAACGACCTCCCAAGCACTACAGGAGCATCGGGTGAGGCTGTCACAAGAGATCACATATCAGCGCCAGCCACTCAGTTGTATACCAGTTAATATAGCAAGGCCTCAGGAATAATATAATACACTAGTGTAAACATTTCTGACACATTTTTCCCTTTTGTCTACTTTTCTGTCTTATATTTCACCAGTGACACTACAAAAAAAAGCAATATTTCTGCAGGGACTTTGTGTGTGTGTGTGTGTGTGTGTGTGTGTGTGTGTGTGTGTGTGTGTGTGTGTGTGTGTGTGAGAGTGTGTGTCCGACAATGCAACTAGCCAAAAGTGTACAGTCATTTAGCCATTTTCCTGATTACACTGAAAACAAAAGCCGTGGTTATCAGCAAAGGAAGCAGCTCCCTGCTTGTGAGTCGATCAAAGGAAAAATGTGCTTTCTCCTTAAAAGCAACAGAGCAGAGAACAAAAAAGAAAAAAAAACTTTAGTCAAGCCTCCCCTGGGAAGGTGGGGAGGTGTTTGAGGCGCTCTCTCTTTTGTTTTTCTTATTACATTCCCTGACTTCATCCCCTACCTCTGTTGTGTCTCTTTTGCTTCTGTTCTGAAGGATTACTTCCAACACTTCTGTCTTGATCCCTCAGCCCTCGTCTCTTTCTCATTTCCACCCTCTGCTCCCTTATATGACTCTATGCATTTGAATCCATCATAATGCTGGTTTCTCAGTGTGACAGGAGCCTGTGGGAATCCTATTACGAAGATTTCCCAGAATCTCACAGCAGCCACAGTGAAAAGAGACTGACCAACCAGTACCACAAGGGCTCGACTGCAATCCGTTTGGATTTTAAAAGGCTACTCAGGTCTGTGCTGTTGTTCAGGATAATGTAATTTACTGGACTTAAATTGGAATGGTAAAAAGTTCATATCCAATAAACTTTTTTCCAAGTTTAAAAGAGTTCTAGCGCAGAAAAGCTATTTAAGGGAGCAGCTCTTTCTAACTCCAGCAGTGGAGAGTGGACTGTCTAGTTTAATTATAACAGAGCAAGTGTTCAGTGTCATGCATGGTTGGAGGTCGCTACCTCTGCCTCTCAGACCCTGATAGCACATCATCGAAGAGCAGAGGGCCATTAGGAGACACTCGGCAGGACATTAGCCATTTACAAGTGAGAACCAGCTACCAGTTTTTGGATCAGAACAGTAAAGTGGGGCGCCTGGTATAGAGAATACCATTAAGGTGAAGCCTTCACCAGGTTCGAGTGCAGTCTGGGCCCTTTGCTTCATGTCATCCTCTCTCCTCAACTTTCCTGTCTCTCTCTCTCACTACAGCTATCACAATAAAGGAAAAAATGCCCCCAAAAATAACTTATAACAGTAATGAGGAGATAAGACATGATCCTTGGATGGCTCAGTTGTTGGCACTGCCACTTTACAATAAGGTTTCTTATGTTATCCCAGGGTGTCTCCATCCGATTTTCTCAAGACAGTTGATGTGAATGGAGATGTGAAATCTTACTGTGCTCTCATGTCTGAAATAACATACATTTACTGTAAGTTTCATTACGCGATCACTTCAATCTGAGTGCACACATGCTGTGGATTCAAAATAATAATAAAAATAGAAATTCTGTCTTGTAATTACTAACTTTCCACCTCAGTTCATTAACAAATCCTGCAGCTTGTGAAATCAGCGTTTTGTTATCTGCAGTGGAGACGGTTGGAGAAGGTTCTGGTTTCTATCAAGTTAAGAGATAATTGCTGATTGGTCATTATCCAGGTGGGTTAGTGTTTGAGAGAGGAAATGGAGATACTGACCTCATTAAAGTGGGCCGCCTCCTCACAGTTCTCTGCCACATGGCTGTAGAAGGACAGACCTGAAAGGTAAGGAGGAAACTAGTGGTTAGAAACAATTCGTTCTGACATTGGGGTACAGCCAGGTCACCAGTCTATCACAGGGCTGACAGAGAGACAAACAACCATTCAGGCTCAATTTAGAGTCAACAATGAACCTAATCTGCATGTCTTGGGATTGTAGGAGAAAGGCAATGGGAGAACATGCAAACTCCAAACAGAAAGACATTGGTTGGCCGAACAGTTCAAGCCCAGAACCTTCCTGCTGTGAGGCAACAGTGCTAGCCACTGTGCCGCCGTGCCACTCGTGGGCCAATATTGACACTGTGATTGTTGTCATTTCAGCTTGACTGTGTGGACACACAGCACGAGGCATTTATATAGTCCCAGTTGCAGAAAGTAACTAAGTACATTTACTCAAATACAACTTATGTACAGTTTTAAGGTACTTTACTTATATTATTATTATTTCCATTTTATACTGTTTTAGCTACTTTTCAGAATAAGATCAGATCTGAATTATATTTCTGTTCTTTACTCGTCTTGTCTCCTATGCCTTGTTGGCCAGCTGCATGAACAATGTACACTCATGTTTTGTTGATGAATTATCTTCTCTGTTTAATGATTAAGAAAGAAAAAACATAGTTAAAGGTAGGCTTGTGAATGAAGGACCTGTAATGGAGTATTTTTACATTGCATTATTTGTACTTTCTACTTGAGTAAAGGATCTGAACACTGTTTCCACCACTGTCAACTACAGGTTTAATACATGAATGTATCAACTCTCTATTACTGTCTTCAATCAGTTTACATTTGTCATCCTAATGACCAGTGGAAAGATAAATGAATGACTTATAAGCATGACGCGATAGGCTGGCTGGAGCCACGGGAGACAGAAAAGAAATGCAGACAATTAACTGTCACTATGCGACAGAAGAGAAACAGGGAGATTAAAAAAAAAGAGACTTCAGCAGAATCAAAGAAACATAAAAGAAATGTGATTTTTGCCAGTGTTACAGAGAAAAGAATGTACAGATTTCCACATGGTCTTCTTAAACGTCTGTGAAATGTGTTGGTGCAGTGTATGTTCAAGGTTATACACAGAGCAGAGAGCTGCTCGCTGTACAGTAACCTCACTCACTCATGCGCACACCAGCCTTTGTTCACCTGGCTGCTTTGTGATGTTCATGAATGGTGCCGGATCGCTGTGTGCATCCTGCTTTGTTGAGGTAGTTTGCTTTGTGCATTTCACGCTTTGTGTGGGTGTTGATGTCTGTTTGGTTGCAGGTGGACAGCTGATGTGTACTGACGCAAATTTAAACATATACACACACACACACACACACACACACACACACACACACACACACACACACACACACACACACACACACACACACACACACACACACACACACACACACACAAATGCACAGAGACCTACAAAGTTAATTACAGCTCCTGTCAGTTTGGCTGTAATGATAACTTTGAATGGGAATAAACAGATTCTACCTGGCATATCATTAGTATCATTATAAGGGCTGCAAGAATCTTATCACTCATTCACAGAGTACACAGCCTTTGAGTTTAGAAAGAAAAAGACACACAAACATGCAAAAGCAAAACCGAACATACATTACTCATGAGTATAATTTTACCAATATAAGGAGCTCATTTTGGTTCCAGTTCATAATCTCTGTCGCACTCTGCTCCACTCGCTGCAACCTCATAAAACCCACAACCTTTGAAATATATTTTCAGAAAATAAACACCACTTAAATGTCAGAGAGGGAGAGAGACAATATTCCTCCTACATTATTCAAAACACAGGCATTGCTGTCATACCGGCGTTTTCATCTAACTAGAGACGTGGGTTTGGGAAAGTAGATCATGTGAAGCTTACGTAAGGTGCTCCTACACCAAACTAAAACAACATTGTGCTAATCAGGTTGGCTTTTGGCCTTGGTGGATATAAAGTGATAGAGAGCAGAGTGAAGAGAGAGAACCATCCTGTGGTGGAGGGAAGAAAAGGAACAGCGAGTACATTTTTTTTTTTTTACTTCGAGCAGACCGACTGAGATGAAAGGAGTGAATGAAAAGGACTGAGAACGAATGAAAAACTCAAACTAACAGGAATGAAAAGGGCATAGAGATGCTCCTCCGCTTTTCTCCAGCTTTACCTGGAGCTAGGAGGGATAAAACCGAAAAATGTAATGACCAGAAAAGTGGATAGTATTATGCAAGTCTGCCCTAACGTTCAGGGGTGCAATTAGATTCTCCGTTCCCATCTCTCAGCATCTTAGCATCTCATCTTTGTCGTTCCATACTGTGATTTCATATTATGTAATTTCCTGAGCCGAACAATAAATGGTTTACATCCCAAATAGGTGCCTCAATTTAAACTAAACCCACAGTAAATGTCTGTTCCAGCAGAGAGCACATAGAAAAGAGCGCTTCAGGGAGGAAAATGAATTGTGTGTTTGCAAGATACAGTAGAATGCACAAAGCTCGATTTCAGTCAAAGAAATAGGAAAGATTCACAGTTTAAAAAGTGACAAACAAGCTGTCCATGTGGCAGTGTGGATATCAAATGTCTGTTGTTTAGGAAGATTGCTGATATAAGTGGTAAAAAGAGTTGGACAGGGAGAGGAATAGTTAATCTGGCAAGCTGCAATTGAATATCTTAAAAGTGACTGTGACACTGTGTCACCAAAGTGGAAATAATTCCATAATTTCTCAATTAATTCTGACGTACAGCGTGTCACTTTAAACTGTGCTTGTGACCCTGCAGGCTACAGTGCAGAGGCCCTGCGTATAAGCATCAAGAGCGAGAGCGAGCTGCAGATAACAGCGAGGATTCATCAAAGACTTGTCATGAAATCAAATAAGTTTTGACGCCTTGCCTTTGAAGATGATTTGCTTTATTCAGATATATCAGATAAGGTTTTTTCTCAAAATATTGGACGTTTGATTCAGGATTATGTGCATTGTTAGACACCATTAGGTCTCTTTTTCTGTCAGACATGACATGTGGAGTGGGCCTTACATACACGACATCTCCCAGCAGTCTCTCAAGGGGTCATTTATGGTTTGACGTGCTCTGGGGAGGGGATGGGGCTTCCTGGCAGACCCCTTCCTCTACAGACAGGAAGTTTTTTGAGCCAAAAGCACTCAGGAAGCTCTACTGACAGCCTGTAGGGAAAAGTATGACTCAAAGGTCCTCAGCAGTGGCAGTGGAAGAGACTGGGGATGCAAGACTGATGCCCTACTGTAAAAAGAGGAACTGCCACACAATATGCATCAATTTTGGAATCAGGCAGTAATAAAAATGAAGATTACACTGTCCTCAATAAATTGCATATTTTAAATACAATGAAGTATAAGAAACAGATGAAGATGGACAGGGGAGTAAAAAAGAATAAACTTACCACTGGGGCAAAGTGATTGCTCATAGATGTAATTGAAGACATTAGTCTTCTCTAACCACTTAAATAGAAAGTTATACATGTTCAGAATTTTTTAAAATGAAACTAATAAAGTGGGTGTCATGGTGAATCAGTGTATGATAGGTTTGATCCCTACTCAAATCTCTCTCTCGCCCACCTTTCCTGTGACTCTCTGCTCTCTGTTATCTAATGATCCATAAATATCAAAATGTATAACACTTACTTTACATCTGACCACTCAGATCAAGTGATTTTATTTTTTTTTTAATTCAATCTCATGTCTTCAACCTCTGGGTTACTTACAATCTCCTATAAATAAAGAAGCCCTTTCATAATGATTTCAGATATTTGAAATACATCTTAAATATCAAAGGCTGGAGTCAGGCTAATGTGAAATATCGAGCCCCTACTTACTAGCCTTGGAAAGACGATGAATCGTTATTTGGAAAGGACAATGTCTGAAGAACACAATAAAACAAAGCAATTCAGTGATCTGTGGAAAGGTATTTATGAAGCCTTGTAAGAACTTGTGGGGAGAGGGTTGAGGTAAATGTTATGAGAGTCTTATCAACATGCCACAGTCAGATTAAATGATTCCATGTAAATGAAGAACATTAAGTAACTTTAAAAATGAAGAATCTGCTTGATATCTAATAAGAGAGCCCCACATGTTGTCACACACAATATTTTATGTCAATGACAGATAAAAACTTGCTATAGTCAATATTATGGGGGGTATTGTATTATTGTTGCAATATGATTTTCAAATGCAGAGAGTTGTCAAACTGTATCTCAGTCAATGTGAATGTGTACAAGAATCTGTAAGTGTAGTCTGATTTAATGCGTAAAGGATATCTACAAATGTGTATTTAGATTTGCAAGTGTACTGAGATTTGTGAATATGTAAAAATGTTAATGTGTATGAGATGTATAAATGCTTTATACTATATTCTTTATATTTGTCATATGAAATGACTGTGAAAACAACGTGATAGCCTGAAAGTGATTGCTAATACTGATGAACCTACAGGGAATTATCACCTGACTCTGCAACTCTCCTTGGCTTTATTGAGCTTTAATAGAAAGTTTCTGTTAATTAACCGGCAATGTTAAACCAGAGAGTTCGTTTAAAAACACTTACCGTTGTTCTGCAGGTATTCCTACAGTCCCCAATGGCTCTTCTAACCACCTGGATAATAGGATACTTCGACCTCTAAACGGTTTTCAGCCCATTTCCACACTTACGCCGGTGATTCAGAATCATAACAAAGATGGCGGCCGACCGGTGTTACACAAATTATGACCCACGCTAAATACAAAACAGTTTTGTAAATACCTAGCTATTAAAATTAAGTATGTTTTAGAGTATGTAAGTTGTATGTAAAGTAAGTAAAACAAGAGAAAACAAACCATCAATCAAAAAAATAAATAAATAAAGTGACAATATGGCTGGAATTCCCATTAAGGTCACAGAATCTGATGGGTCACAGAATAAGGTGTAACACCAGGAAGTCACCCAGAACAACTTGGGAAACAGGTATACAAAATCTTTTTATCATGCATCGGACAGACTATTTTTCAATGATTTAAAGAAATACACCGCCTGGACATCAGTGTGTTTTTAACCGGACGTCTCGTTTTAGGGTTTTCAAATACAAACAGGTAAATTTTGTAGCGAGAAGAGAGGTGGATGGTTAGCTAGCTCTGAGGCTAGCCCAGCACCAGCAGACGCAGATATAAACTAGCTGGTGAATATAGTGAAGCATTTATCAGATATAAAGACAAATATTTTCCTCAGGAGTACGTAGAGACTAAAAACAGAGCTAAAAAAGAGTAAATATTGGACGGGCTTACTTCAAATGAATGATAATGTTGCTCCATACTTGCCGAATGTGTAAATTAGCAGCTGTTTGCTAACAAGTTCGCCATATTAATTCAAAAGTTGATGATATGTCAGTGTCTCAGTATTTTGGTGAACAACTATCAAAATTTGTGACCCAGTCTAAATACTATAGGGGTCACTATGTGTTTGTCAGTGTTGATCAAAATAAGATATGTGAAGTATGATTTAAAAAAAAAAAAAAAAAAAACCTTTACAGTGACAGTGCATCTTAAATTTGCATTCAGGCCACATAGTCTGATGGGTCACAGATTACAGTCTAACATCAGTTTAACTGGTAAGTGTGTACTGCATCTTAAAGAAATTGACACACCGTTTATGGTAACCACTGCTTGCAAATGTTGTTGTTTTTTATGGTTGTAAGCTGTCATCTGTCCTGTAACTAGAAAAAGATCTGATGTGCACTTTGCCTTTTCTTTTGAAAAGAAAACCCTCATATAATGTCATATAAGTAAACACCGGTGAACGTCACTTGTGTCTTGAACTGAGCAGGTTTTGAAATAGCACTGACTGAATCAGATACTGCAGGGCAGAAATTTGGGTTGAAAGGCTCACTTGCACCCATATCGTTACTTAGGCTATTTGAAATTTTAAACAGATGAGTTGCTGCAACTGTGCTGACCACAGTTGGGCCACCGGGCGGGAAGAGGAGACGATCAAATCTGTGACATGGATGACACACTTCATGTAATATCAAAACCCTGGTGAGCTCATTGCAGCACAGAGCACAACACTGTAATGCATCCCTTACCCAGTGCACACCCAGATGCACACACACACACAGAGCAGAGGAGAGAGTGAGAAAGGGGGGAAGGGGATGGTGGTCCTACAAAACCCTGACGCTGAAAACAAGAGTCTAATCAGAGATCAGCTGGGACTGAACACATGTCATCTGTCATCGAGGAGACTGATCGCTGTCCGAGGTGCTGAAACACACTTGCACACACCTCTGTGCCTCACTCTCCCTCTCTATCTCCTCTTTCTCTCTCTCTCTCTATCTCCTCTCTCTCTCTCTCTCTCTCTCTCGCTCTCGCTCTCTCTGTCTCTCTCTGTCACACACACTCTCACAAAGAAACAGGATGTCAATGAATGAATGCACAGAACTCCTTTCAACTGCCCCCCCACCCCCCACCCCCACCACAGTGATTCCTATTTCCTGTGAAGAGCAGGACAGGGGCTGTGGTAATGACCCTGTCTGAACTAGTGGACTGGCAATTACCCTGATGGTATGACAAAGACCCCCAAGCCCCCTCCCTCAACACCCTCTTCAGCAATCAATGCCATCAATGCTTAGTCTATAGTAACCAATTGGCCTCTTGCCCTTCTTGCTTTATGAGTAGAAAGTAAACCATTAAACAATGAGAGGAAATATCAAGTGAAGACAGTAATGAGAAATCACTGTGATGTCATGGTATTCCCAGATATACACAGTTATACCTGCTGTTTTTTCTCTTGTGTGGTTACAATAAATAGTCAATAATATTCATATAATATTCTTACAAAGGCTTAGAGTTTCTGTGAACACTGGGAGTGTCCTCTTAAACATCAAACAAGAAGAAATCACTAATGTCACTATATTCCCAAGGAGTTACACTTGTTTGTGTGTGAGTGTGTATTTTTGTACATGAAAGTCCTATGCAGTCTTAGGGATTTTTGTGTATCCTATCATTTTAAGGAGAGATTAATGCATTTATTTTAGCAGTTCTATCATAAATATGTTTGTTAGTGCGGGAAAAGCACGAATCCTTTGTCCAGTTTGCTTCTTTGGATAAAATAAGGGCGCATTGGTACATCAGCGCAGCGCTGATCCAAGAGGGGTTCCCCCAACTTTTTACGCAAGCAGGACGGCTGACTTATCTCCCATCATCCTGTCTGACACAAATCAAACCCGGGCAAACCCCGCAGCGTGCTTCGGTTTCAAGACATCTACAGAAATCCTGCAGATAAAGATGTCCTACCTCTGAATGTAACTTTGGCGATCCGGTCACCTTTTCCCCGAAGATGAGCGACCGTCTTCAGGTGAACCATTAGAGCCATCATTGGTCCACACTGACAGGGGAGTATTTCTACTCCACACAGATGAAACTTGAACCGCGCAATCTGTGTTCAACGGTCTTTAGGTGAGACTCTCCTTGCGTCTGGATTCGCTGGACCCAAAAATGGTTTTCCATACGGGCAGCATGGAAAATACTTTACACTTTGTCACCAAACAGCAACAAAATGAACGAATTAACGGCAGGCTGCAGTGAACATTTTCCTCCCGCTCTGTGCTCCGTGGCTCTGCTGGGTCTATCGCGCATCTCTGAGCTGGCACTTTGGTTTTTACTCTGCTCATTGTGCAGCAGGGGCGGGGGGCTTCAGCTACAGCGAGGGGATGGTGGATGCTCTAATTTTGAAAGATCAAACCAACCCTGGGATTTGAGGGAAATTCACTGCCTCCCTTTTTTCCCAGTTAAAAATCTTCTATATAGTCAGGCACTTACAATAAGTATGCCTTACCATTATATGTTCATATTCATTAAGACTATTCCAAAAAAGTGCAAAGGATTATTTCCATCTTCCCTACCAACACAGATTTACATTTTTTTTAATACAATAGGCTTCTAAATGCAGATTTTAAATGGTAACTGACCGTTTAATTCTTTGTCATGTCCCATTTTAAGCTTCATTTAATATTACTATGAAGACTAATTAAATGTGTTGTATAGATTTTAGCATTTTTAGGCCAGATGCTGTGTAAAACACAGTTGCCAGGCAACTCCTTTTACCCTTCTGGTTTTGGGTGAAGATGACCGAGGTCAGGGGTCAGATGAAATCATCTTGGCCAAGCTGGTCCCTGTCTAGTGCAGAGCATTGCTCCTCCTTTTATCTTTAGTAACAAACAACAGGAACCCCAGTACCTTTTACCTGCTGGCTGCACTGTAATTCATGCATTCATGTTCCAAGGATAGACCAGCAGGTAGCAGCTGTGCCAGGGGTTTTTGAAACAGTGTCCAGGTGCCTGTCACCTCCTTTTTTTCTACAAGAGAAAAAATGAAGAATAATTGATTCACCAGATGTTATATTTCCACTGATGGCGGCAGCTCTGTGATGTTTCTGGTCCTCAACATTTCAGCAGTGACACACTCAGTTAGAGTGTGAGCATGCTAAGATATGGACATGGACTGTCAGAAAAGAGTCAGATCATCCCCTAAGCATAGCTTCCACACAAAAAATATATATATTTTCTGGCAATGTAGCATAGTCTGACGCTTTAACACGTACGTTTCCACAACTGTGTCACTGTAGTTTAATCTCAGTGGGTTACATTTTGTAGAAAAATCTACTCAGAAGCCCTGAATTAATAAACTTCCTTTGAAGCTTGGTGTTTCTGTTTACTGGACTGGGCTATTTTTAAAAAAATCTAAGGCAGTTAAATTTAATTGTTTCTTTTCTTTCCCTCAGCTCTCCTAGAACATTGAGGAACACTGCAAAGACAATGGTTGACAAGAGTGGGTTCACTAATTCATCATCTCTGTATATGAGAGCTGCAGATACCCAAAGGAGTAGCCCCAACGGACAAAAAGGTATAAATAGCCTAACAGCATAATGCAATGCCTTTAGTGTACAGGAATGAGTAAGTAAGACTGATAGAACTGGATCACACTGCTGCTTTAACACCATTCATATAAACTCAGCTGGGCAGTCAGTCTAACTTCATGTAGTATAACAGATGAGGTGTCCTATTTCATGACAAGCATCTTGTCTCTTCACTCTTTGGAATTAAAGGTAAAGGGTCTGACATAAATGACCTCAAGCATGTGTATAACAAGACAGGACACCTTGTACTGTATATACTGAGCTGGTGTAGGTGTTATCTCAGGAGCAATACAACCCCCTCTCTTCCCCTCGCTGTGTGTGTGTGTGTGTGTGTGTGTGTGTGTGTGTGTGTGACATTGTCTATGCACATTTGCAGGTTTGCAGGGAGAGAGTGAAAGAGACAACTATCTGCTTTGACAAGATTTTAGTTTTTTTGGGTGTTTTTTTTTTTTTTTTTTTTTAGTTTAAAAATGTGTTACGCTTTTTGCTGACTCATGCACTCTCTGAAGATGCTGCAGTAGTGTTTGTGTGTGTGTGTGCGTGAGAGAGAGAGTGGCTGCTGGAGACTCAATCAGCACCAGTAATGAGTTTATGGAGTTGAGGTTTTAAGAGCAGGGATCATATAAAAAACAAACACTTCAGTTAAATCATTGTCCCCTGGGGGGCCATGAAAATGGCCAGTAACACATATATTGATTTTGTGGCAAATTTGGCTGATACATATGATAATTCCACAAAGAGCAGACAACATTACAGAAATTATCGGCGATTCTTCAGTCATTTATAAATAATTAAGAATCAGTATGATCATTTCAATTTCTATATTTAAGCCATAATTTCCCATATCTGTTTTTTCTTTCTTCCAGATGAACAAGTGATGACTGAAATCTTTCTTCAGTGCAGATAAAGGGCCGAGCCAACAGAGGGAGATGTTGGTCTGGAGTAAAACCACCTGCAGACAAGCAAATACAGAAGTCATTACTTCTGGAGCCTATGCAGGCATAGATATATATAATTAATCAATATGGTAAGCCCGTTACTTACCATATTCATATACAGTATATTGTGAGATCTATATATGCTACAGTTCTTCTCGTTGGAATGAGAATATTACTCCTAGATTAACCTCTGAGCTATGAAGACTCTCAGTAATTGCCCATCTGTCACATTGCTGCTGGTCTTATGGGAGGTTTGCTGTTATAATAGAAAGGTCAAGAGGTTTCACGGCAAAACCCAGAGGATCTGAAGAGCTCCCATCTGGAAAAAAAGGGGGGAAAAAATGTGCTGCAAAGTTGTGCTGCAGAAAATTCCCATTGTGTGATAGTCTCCAAGGGAAAAGGAGCCACAATAAAAAGGAAGCAACCATGTTCAATTTAAATTTCTACAGTATTTTGAAACTTAACAAATGTGATGGGTACAAAACCATGTGCTGTTACTTATATACATATGGCAGAATGTATCATGTATTATTTACACAGTGTGAATTGTTCTCAGCCTTATATGAGCACAAAATAAGGCAAAAACATACAATTAATATACAGATTGATGCACTATATTAGGCAGATACTATTATGCAACCATCTTAACTCCATTATGTAACCACACAATAGACATTTTACTCAAATATTCAACTCATTACTCAATATTCAACAAGCATATTGTTTATTGTAGTGAAAGAATGGCTTGGTTTATGGTGCTGCTATCCTATATTTAAAAATGTGGCTTGTTGCTCCATCTAGTGGTTAAGTGACTTATTTGGAAAATGGATGTAATTGTGAACTTTGTCTCCACAGATTAGATCATTTGTTGGAGTTTTGGCCCACAGGTCTGTTCTTTCACACCTGGTGCAGTGATGGTGTCATGGAAATGTAAAGTGGATCAGGTCTGCAAGACTAAGACTGGAACAGGACAGGACAGGACAGGTGGGTCTGAACTACTCATACAAAGGGTTTTACAGAGGCAGCTACCTGGCATTAAAAAATAACAATCAGATATATACAAATTGCTATAAAATCACACACTTGTAAAGAAACAAAGGAAGATCAATCAAGGACAGGGTGTTCATAACCTCAGATCCGAATTACTCAGCCACTGGCACGGTTTTTCTTAGACTCCACCTGCTACCAGGCGTTCAGGATGAAGTCAGTTTCGCTCCCTGAAGAGGGAGACATTTTGTCAGTTTTTTTCTTTCCGATTTCATAAATTGAAAATCAAAGAGGAACACTGCAAGCACATTTAAAGATCTTAGAGGTAGTCTGTTGTAAAGGAATGCAAATAGTGTTTAAACAAGGTAAATTTATGACAACCTCTAAGCCTTCACTTATTCAGACACTACTTTGATTCGCAGTTTAAAAGCTGTTTTTAACCCAATTCAACCACATATTAATATCTGAAAAGTAATCACTTTCTCAAATAAGAATCGACCGGACAGGTTTGTGGATATTGCTACCTGGTAGCTGATTTTTTTTTTATTATTTTTTTTTTTTCAAAAAAAAATTTCTTTTTACGCAAAGAAGCTGCAAGTTTACGGTGAAGCCAGTTGTCCCATCGGAAGAGGGGAGGGGAGGGCTGGTGTGTCCCAGCCCTCTGCATCCAGCTGGTGCGTCGCTCCGCTGCAGTAGCGCGCCACACTCACTATGGCTTTAGCCGCAAGCAGGACGCTCTTGGCGCTATTCGTTACGTTTTGCGCACCAGGATGCGGATGGACAGGTAAAGGAGTTATTTTTTACTTTTTTCCTGAGCAGGTGCACGGTTTTGCACTAATGTGTTAATCAGTTTAATAATTGCTGGGGCGCTGTTGCCTTCTCCTCTGGATCCAGTTTGATTGATGAGACACTGAGTCTGTGCATTTATAATGCATTAAAATGTAACTTCTTTTTTTTAAACTCAGAAACTAGATACTGTTATTTTTGAAAGGCAAGAAAACACCAGTGTCTCTGTGCGCGCGTGCATATCCATCTCCGTGCACGCCATATTTAAAAAGTTCTCTAATAACTAGTTTCTGCAGATGTATATTATTACAAGAACGAAATAGATTAATTACACCTATGTAGAGTGCATTAGAATATTTAATTTAGGGTGCACAGTTTGATTCATGGTTTGCAGATGTGACAGAGTTGAGTAATTACAGAAAATATGAGCATGGGCAGTATTTTCACTGTTGTTACTTTATGGGGGGAAACTCTGATGCTGGGCTCTTAGCAGCAGTCATGGAACAAGTCCTTACCTCATACAGTAGACACATCCTAGAGTAGCTGTGATCAGCAATTAGAAGATGGTGATAAATATCAAGCTACAACTAGAGTCATGGTGTAAGATTAAAAGCTGTTTCATGCCAAACTGGTGACTAATCTGGCTGATGGTGGTGATAAATGACCTGCCTCTGAAAATTCAGTTTCATGGGAGAACAGACATGGAGGGGGGCTCAAGTTTTCTGTCTGTCGCACTTCCTCTGGGCAGTGTTACTTTGCTGCATGCTTTGAATGTCAGATCAGCCAGCAGTCAGGAATGGGTGAAATGGGTCAAAAAATGAATCGAAATTCATTCAACCCACTAGAAAATGCAACCTGCTTCAGGGTTTTGATGGTGCAGAGACAGACAGGAATTTATCCCAAAAAGGAAAAAAAACTGCACGTCAGGACAGTGATAAATCAAATACACATAGCATTTTTTTTGACAAGCAGAGACTGTGCAAACCACAGTAGCACATATGTTTTTAAAGTTTAAGTACTGTTTGTGAAATCAATTTTCAGTGAAAGAAGCCCCCGTTCTCCAGACAGTGAAAATATCCAAAATAACAAAAGTGCCATAAAGCTTGAGGAGTTTTGGAGGGGAGTAAGTTAACCCTTTTGGCAGAGTTTAAAGGCCAGTCTTCCTTTTTTTTTTGCTCAGTCCTCTTATTGTGTCAGTTGATCTGTTAGTTTCTATATGCCCCCTTTTCAACTGTAAGCACTTAGTGTATGAGGTCATTGCTTTCTGAGAATATAGGCAGCTGCTATTTGTTGTGGTTTTTTTCCTCTTGGTTCTTTTTTTTCCCATATTTTCAGAGTAGTCATGCACTTTTTCTGCAACACCCAGCTACTCATTCATTCACTTGTATACATTCACACCTGGGAGCTACTTAGTACAACCACAGTTCACTGCTGCGGGCCACTGAGCAGCAGCGGAGCAGTTTTGAGTTAAATGCCTTCCTCTCAGGCATTTTGACAGTAGTTGTTAAGGGAGAGGAGAGTGTTACTTATTAACTTTCTCCACTCACGTGTCATCAGCTTGTCAGTCTAAAATTCTTCAGAGCAGGGGATGAAATTGGGCTTGTGGGAGTATCTGGACACCAAGGCAGGAGCAGTGCAAATAGAGAGAACAGAAACGTAGTGTATTTTGGATCATAAATAATGCCAACTTCTTCCATGCAGCCACAGCTCATCAACCCCTGGAAAGTGAAGAGTGTGGAGAGTAATTGGGATAGAGAGTGGGGGGAAAGAGGGAATCATGTCCTTGCAGGCCAGTGGAATTTAATTTCTCTGCTCCACTTAACAAGCTAGAATTCTGCAGGAAGAATACACGACAGATCTCGCCGAAAGCTCTCGGAATCAGGAATTTCATAACTTCAGCTTTTTTTTTTCTTTGGAAAAACATGAGAGTTGCAGTGAGGCAGAGGCAGCACATATCTAATATTTCTAATATTTTCCACAATACTAGGTACATTTGATCACCTGACATAGCTTGACCCAGCACCTCCACCCACCTGCAGCTTGGCTGCCTGTCAAACCTGCCAGCGATGGCATGTCTCATGTCATGATGTCATTCCTAGACGCCCTTTGAGTTGTTTAAACAAGTACCACCTGGGCTGTGAACACGCTTGTCACAGCACAGTAAATGTCAGCATGCTAAGTGTATTGCAGGAAGATGTAGCATAAACTAACACTGTAACGTGTCAGTCTTCATGAGTGAGAGGATGTTAGAATCATCTGGGAAGTGTGTTGGTTCCAGAAGTGAGGCTGTGACCACCAACACTGAAATGCCACACGCTATAAACGTCATATATGTAAGAATGCAACCCTCCCAAGCTAAACAATTACTCACTTCAGGTTCTTGCTGTAAATAAAGTATGTCACATTCCCCTGTTAAATCAGGCTTAACGTCCCAAAAGTTGCGGCTGTGGTTCGAGGTAGAGTGGGTCGTCCACTCATTAGAAGGTTGGTGGTTCGATCCTTGAAGTGTCCCCAAATTGCCCCTGATGATTGTTCCATCAGTGTAGGAGTGTGTGTATGGATGTTGATGGTGTATGTGGTTTGAGTGGTTGATAAGACTAGACATAATACAAAAACAATAATCTATTCTGACAGTCTGGTGATTGATGTGCCAGTGTGAGGAGGGCAACAGCCATCTATGGTCACAGTCTTTATCTGGTGTGTCGGCTTTATGACAAAGTTGATTACTGGAGAGAGTTTACTGAAGGTCAGAGGAGAGAGGAGTTTAAGACTGACAGAGGTACTACCAGGAATTTTGTAGCCCCCGGCAAAATCTGACTCAAGACACTTTCTCACTTACCACTGGAGGTATCTAGCCATGCAGAGAGTTTATTTGCCCACGTTTTCAGATAATCCGTCTTTTAGGTTTTTTTCCTTCAAGCAATGTAACATGGGAGGATGGAAATTTGTTTGTGGTGCTCACAGCACTAAAAAAAGCATATCTCCATAAATTTGATCCAGAATATGTGTTCCAGTTACTCATGATAATCCACAGAAGACACTGTTAACAGTTGTTTTATGGACGGTTTCCTCAGTAGAAAGTAGTTCCAATAAAAATAGTTGACTGTGTCTTCTGTGGATTATCCAGACTAACTGGAACATTATTTCTGGGCACATACACGTATGCTGATGATTTATGTAATGTAATTTTTCAGTATTGTGAACACCACAGACAAACTTTCTATTCCCCATTTTATTTTGGTATTTGGGCAGCAGGAATTTCAGAAACTGAACACTCAAAACCTGGACAAATAAAACCAGGACAAACTGCACTGCGGTTTTGTGGTGACTGAGAAAATGTGTTTTTTGGTCATTTTTACTGGTGGTTTGAATTCTCAAATCTGAAAATGCAACTCAATCTTACCGATAATCAGACTGAACTGAACAAGTTTGTGTTTCTCTCGGTGTAACAGCCACTTTACATACAAAAACAGGAACATACAGTGTCCTAAGCAATGTCAAGAAGGCCCAGCAAAGAAAATACTGCACAGACATGTCTGAATCCTCATTCTTGTTAAATACTTGTTGTCCTGCAACAGTTCAAAAATCTATCAAAAATAGGAAAGTGGAAACTTGCAATTAGTCATTGGGTGCATTCCATGTTGTTACTATGACAGCAAATTATCTTTTTCTATCTAGTTCTAAGAATTTACAAAATGCAAAATCTTACACACACACACACACACACACACACACACACACACACATTCACGGGTGATATTGTGTATTGATGGTAGCTTGTGGAAGATGACAGTTATTAGGGGTTAAAGGCAAACTCATTAGGGGTGAGCGGAGGGTCAGTGTCTGTGATTTTGTGGCGAGGTGAGAGGGTGCTCTTGTAAAAGTGGAGCACACTGCAGGTGCATGAGTGCAAGTATTTTCTAGAACAGTTTTACGGGAGTCCTTCGACCTCGGGGCTTACCTGCATATGCTTCTTATCCCAAACTACACATGCACATACATGTGCATGTCTGTCTTTAAAGGTTTGAGTGTGCATGTGTGCCACATATCCTGTAGCCTTCAAACAGGGTATGCATTGCTGACTCATGGTGTCATTATGTCCCTGTTTTCTTTTGTTTTGTTTTTTTTTATCAAAAAGACAGTGACATAATGACCCTGAGGCCTTGCCCTCATTCTTCACATACTTAATACTTTCCACTGTCGGACTCAATCATACTCTGTCTGTCTGTCTTTCACCTTCACAAACATGGAACAGAAAATGCTCTATTATTGCTCCGGTTTCCCCTGGTAACGCCCTGAAACCAAGCCTTCCTCCGTAAGATTATGATGTTACAACCACTCAGTTGCTTAACTGCTTCCCAGACTGTTTATTCTTGGATGGCAATCATGCATCTGCTGTGCTCGAAGGAATCTTGGTTTAATCAGAAATATCTGGTTTGCTCTTGGATCATAAATTTCTAAAGAGGCCAAATCATAGAATGAAGTCTGGACAGAGGAGCAGATCCCTTCCTACGTAATACAAGGCCTTATTGGAAACAGGGTGCAAGTGATTGAAGTGTGTCCAGACTTGTGTCAATGGAGTCTGCCACAGACAGCTGATAAAACTGACTCCACTGTAACCCAGCATTAAAGAGGAAATAATGAGGAGAGATTGTATTTTGTTTTCTTTTTTAACTGAGAAAACATTCTCACACTCCTTCATGCACCCAGGCACAATGTGGTGTGAGTCTGTATCTCCAGGCTGGCTGCCAGAGTGGTGCTATCTACAGTGAGCAGAAACAAAGATGAGACGATCTTTCAGCACATACTAAAACTTCCAGATAAGCAGAGATAACAACGTAGGCCTCTGAAGAGCTGTGACCATCTGTAAACTGCAGCACGAGAGGCCTGAGTGACAATTATTCCGAAATGTGAAAAGCGAAAGCGCAGATCCAGCTGGGAGTGCACCTGGAGACAACAAGAATTCAAAGTAATGAGGTGATTTTGTGCTGATGCAAAACTGAAACTGCTGCGTTAAACCTTTGGGGAGCACAAGGGGCCATAAGGACAAGCTGTTTATGAGATGGACAGACATTACTGACACTTATATGTGACAGCGATGAATGGCTAACACGCTAATAAAGCTACTTTTGTTCAAGTTTTGCAAATCCTCTCGATTCGGCCAGTGCTTAGATACATGCTATTTGGGCTCTTGAGATCCAAAAGCAGTTCTCTTAATTAATATGAAGTATATGGATCAAGAATTTTATGCTTTGTTTATAAGTTTTTATACATGGTTGTAAACTTGTAAAGTAGTGTTACTCCTTTGTGTTTTTGTACTACTTCCACAGTCCCACACTGGCTTCAAATCTAGATGTATTGCACATTTCTATTTTGGGATAACAAAAGCTATTTGAGAATAAAGAAATATTGAATATGAATATTTGCCTTCAAGCTTGGTGATGGCCTGTACTGCATTTGTAGAATTTGGGTTTGCCTAGAAAAATTAAATTAAAAATATATATTTTATTAGAATTCTGAAGGTGACAAATATGACAGCTCTTTACAAAATAGTGATCCAAATAATGAGTGAAATCAAACAGAAACTAAAGACTTACAATGGCATCAGAACCAAGTGCAGCAAACCTTTACTCACAGAAGCTTTTACTCAGGTTTTACTCCAGTCACTGACCTTTCTGACTTCATAGAAGTCCAGGCTCAACACCTAGAATGTCAAAAGTTTACTATAGAGTGATAACCAATACATAACAAAGACACTACTCACTGAGTTCTTTACCGCCTTGTTTTCCAACTTAACTGTGATGAACATGCTCGTTCCGCCGGGACTGATAGGGTAACCACTTTTTCTCTCCATGCTTCTTACTAATGTCACTTTACTTCTGTTGATCCAGAATCCATACAAGCTCTCAGACATGAAGCCGTTATTTTGTGCATGATTAATCAAGTCCTCTATTAAGTATCTCAAGTGGTTGTTCCTTATTTCCCACGTATCCTGTGCTCACTAATGCCTTTTAGCTGCTTTTCCTTTCATGCAAGCCGAATTCACATTTCACATTGAAGTGTTAATGTCACACTCGATGCTTTACTTTGTTATCTGGGTGTAATGTAGGTCCGATGAATGATTGTGCTGTCACTACTCTGTTGTACTATGCTAGCATGCGAACCAAAAGAAGAGCAAAGAGACAGTTGCTATCCAAAACACAATGGTGGTTACTATTTTCTTTGTTTTGTTTTGAGCGTATCTAGCCAGGAGGGAAAATCAGGATGGCTTATTGTCCTGAGCTTTTAGCATCCAACCAAATCCTCATTTATTTATTTAACCATCAAATGAGTTTGTATTTTTCACGGCCGTCTTACGCATGAGTTTATACTTCATCAAGATCAAAGTTACTTTAAATGCCAAATATAATAAATACAGATGAAATTGTCCTGGTGGCACTGAAGTAGAGGTGTATTTACAGCTTCAAATCTTGAACAGTGGGACCACAACAAGCCTTCAAGTTTACTATAAATGACAATGCAAAATTAAGACTGTTTAAAAAAACTTTATACAGACAAAATTTATCCAGATGTCATTTGTTTTGCAGCAGAGAAGCCCCTGCGGACACACAATGGGAAACAGACCTCTGTGGACAGGGGCCTGAGGGAGAGCTGGGAGCCTTCTATCCATCTGGATGGAAGACCTGTGGACCGCTTCGTAATCAGCTCCAACAAACCCACGAGATCTCATCGCTTAACGAAAGCGGGCAAGGACAGTCGCCCACATCTAATGGAGGATGTAGGTAAGACGGAAACAGAGAACACGCGCAAAAGAGAGGGTGAGAGCAATGTGGGGATGTGAGATGTTAATATCAAATGGTTGATGATGAATGAACGAACTGGGAACTAATAAACATGTGTGTCTCCGGGACTGGACGAGTGCTGGTAGATCTGCTAGACAAAAAAAAAAGAGGAAAATAATTGGACAAAGAGTGAGAAAAGGTTTATTTTTTGGCTTAAATTTCGGGGTGAGCTTTCAGATCCCAGAGATCTGCACTTTGTCAAGACGAGAGGAGGGGATGAGCAGAGCTGCAGAGCTGTGTAAGACGTCAGATGTTGAGGTGTAAGCACAAACATGTGCATGACCGTGTGACTGATTTTTAACAGTGGATTTATTCATCATTGGATATTTTGTCAACCAGGTTTGCCAGATAGCAGGAAAGAAAGCAATATTACACACAAGAAATCAAGAAAGAAAGAAAGAAAGAAAGAAAGAGAGAGAGAGAGAGAGAGAAAGAGAGAGAACTGGTGGTGGCAGTGTGACCACAATCAGCATCCCAGCTCAGCAGACAGTAGTTATTTTAGGCTTTAGAGGAAGACATTATTTTTAGATCTTAACAGCTGCTATGGTAATTCTTAATCCCGCCTTGTAAAACATGAGACAGGTCCTTATGTTTCTATACACATACAGTTTGCTGTGTTGACACAGTCTAGCCTGCTTTTGTCATTATTCCATTTTCCTCTGTCCTTGGCATCTTAGAGCCATACTTCACCAGCGACTCAAAGTCTGCAGCCAACCCTTCTTTTCCACATCCAAACCCAGCCCAGCGCCTATAACCCAATCCCCTGTGTTGTGGTCACCTGACGTTGTGTGTGTGTGTGTGTGTGTGTGTGTGTGTGTGTGTGTGTGTGTGTGTGTGCAACGTATGTGTGTTTGGTGGTCATTGTGGCAGAGGACCGGGTGGTGCCAAGTAATGAAGTCATGCATTGTCTTGTGATGAATTAAGGTATGCATGTATAGATGTGTTCTTGTCTGTGTGTGTGTGTGTGTGTGTGTGTGTGTGTCACACAGTGTGTGTTGTGGCGGCCTTGTGGACTCTCCAGCTCCGGTGCAGTTTGCCATAAATCTCTGGCAACCGGGCTGCATCTCAGTGTTGCCTTTCCAGAAATTCCTTGCAGATCGTGTGTTGTTCCCTCAGCAGCATCAGTCATCATAAATAAGAACATGCTGTTAGCCTCCACATCATTAATGTGTCTGGCCAGCCGCTGTTAGAACAACAGAGGTGAAGAGATGACTTATTAGGAGCAACAGGGAAAGAGATGGAGAGTAAAGGAAACGGGGAGATTGAGAAACCTTTCTCACTGACAGTGAGAGATTCAGTCAACCTGCTCCACAAAAACACACATTACGTACATCCATTTTCCACTTGAGCAAATCCTTATCATGTAGATGTTATTTAGTAAAGCCATGGGTTCCTTTTTTAAATTTATATGATTTGCTGTTTCCATTGTCAACATAATTTAACAAGAATACCTGTCTTTTTCTTTTTTTTTCTTTTTTTTTTAGACCCTGAATGGGTTAATCTGGATGGCTTTGCCGTGTTGGGCGGTGCACCTGTCACCAACTCATCAGCAGGTAAAATGATCTTGAGGCATCTTTACCAACAATACATGGGATCGGTGTGTCTCAGTTAACATCCATGCATGTAAAACTATCTGGTTGAATCTATTAAACGTGGTTTGCTGTAATGATCTGCTGTCATTGTGGATATAAAGTAAACCGCCAAATCTAATATGTTGGTGATTAACAATCCTGTGTCTTGGGGCGACAGTCTCCTTTTCCTTCATTCCCTCACTTGTCCCTGTGGGATCAGTGGGGAAAAACACTCACTTGTCTCTGACTCATAGATTCCCTTGGATTTAGCCAGGTATGTTTTCTTGCAGTTTATCCAAATTTAACATCAATTTTAGAGTTTTGTTCCCTTTAATGGTGTCCACCACATTAATTAGTACTTATTTTCCTATCACTGCTTTCAACAGACCGTAAAATGAAAGAAAATGAGTAGTTGACAGACAAGTAGAGTTGTTTATAAGCTGATTGCCAGATCATCTGTACCTTTATTGATTAAAGTGTACTCTGTGGATGAATTTATTATACCGCACAGTCAGTTAATTGAATAGTCAAGCGACAGATAATTAACTGCCAAAAACTGCCAAAAATAGATTTTTAATTAATAGTCATTCATTAATCAAGCAAAATGCTAAACATCTGTTGTTTTCAAGTTCTCAAATGTGCAGATGGGGGGGGGACATGTTCTCCCGGTGCCCATGTGGGTTTTCCGGCTTCTCCCACAGTCCAGATAACAAGCAGGTTTAGGTTAATTGGCGACTTTAAATTACCCGTAGGTGTCCCTACACGTCAGCCCTCTGACTGGCTGGTGACCTGTCTACCTGTCAGCAATTTTAAAAAATATGTTAGTTTGAGCTCTGAATTTGTGGTGGTTCTTTTGGGACATTTCTAAACTGAATCATTAATTGATTAATAGAAACAAATAATCAATAAATGAATCTATACTGAAAATACTCAATCATTGTGCATCCCTGTATTTATCTAACCTTTATGGAAAGGAAGATGAGAGGAAAGGAGATGTTTTCTCATATGTTCCTCTTGAAGTCAAGCACACCAGACCACCTGTCCAGACTTCTAGTAAATTACGTTATCTGCTTATTTCTGTGCACCCATGGAGCATTTCAACATTTAAGAAAAAGTCATGTAAACATACACCAGTCTATCACCGGGCTAACACAAATAGACACACGCACACTTGTACTGTTCTTGTGGACAGTTTGGCCTCACCAAACCACATGACTTGGCTTGTCTTTGTGCCGTGGCAAGGAACATGGAGAAAATCCATTCAAATTCCACACTGAACGGATCAGGACCAGCAATTGAACCCAGGACTTTCTTGCTGTGAGGCGACAGTGCTAACCACTGAATCACCACGCTGCTCTGGAGTTTCAGTTTTATTTGTTTGAGGCAGAGCTGCTCCGGAGACACAACTAATCATATTTGTTGAATTAAACCTCCAGTGAGTGAAGACAAACAACCACTGTGTTTGTAAGTAATGTTAGACTAAAGCCCAGTGAAAAGGAAGGGGTAAAAGAACATGTAGCAAATGTTATAAAGTCTAGTTGGCTTACTTGCTACCAAATGAAAAATATTATCTTATGTTAACCATATAAAGTTATCTAGTGCCTAGGGCTAACACTGGGCTATTAACCATAAGCCCAGTTAACATTTCAAGTTAATAACTTAAACTTGCTTGTATAAGTGAACCATAATACACAACAATTTTGACACTCATAGCCATTTATCAAGCGCAAATGTCATGTCAACATTTGCAATTGTTATGAAGCTAGCTAACTCGCTAGTAACTGACAAATAAGATCCAACATTTAAGTTAAGGCTAATTTGCTCCCTTAACATTTTGTGTTATTTAGGTGATAGCTTGGTAGGCTAATGAATGAATGAAGGCATTGACATTAGTGTTGTAGGGTTATTTTCATATTTTGATTGTAGTTGTTTCTTCTCCATTTGGGTTGATTAGTTTTTTTTAGCTAACACTGACTTTGTAAGTTGAGGCTTAAGTGATCGTTTCTGCCTCCAGGATAAATAAATAAAAAGCTTGTCAAATCAAAATTGTTTGTATAAATGAACAACCCACAACAACTTTGACAATTAATCATACTGAGCACAAGTGGTACGCGCCCTACCAGTTGAGCCACGGGGAGCGCCCCACTAGTGTTCATATTTTGCCTGGAGTTGTTTCTCTGCCATTAGTTAGCTATCGTCTCTGCCAGCTGGGGCTTATTTCATTATTTCTGCCTCCAGGAACGCTCTGCCACTGAGAATTGTTTGTATAGCTGTTAAATGAAACTGTGGCTAAACTGAGCAATGTGCTCCACCATGAAACCCAAATTCACCAAATTATGTTTGCAAAGTTTGGATTTGCTTTTGAAGGTGGTGAAATGTCAGAGAGGATAAATCCCTGGTTCTCTTCAGCTCAGTTTGAGGAGGGAGTAAGAGGACAACAGTGACATTCTTCAGCATCTCAGCCTGAATACACTGAGGTGGTCTCTGCTGTAGCAGTGGTATGTCTGTCTGTCTGGAGGCCAGCCTCATAGCACCTCGGACCACTGAGCTTCCAGGAAAAGACAGAAAGGATCTGGCAATGAGAGTATTGTGGAGTCAAATGGTTTAGCGGTCCGCGGCATGATGACCTGGGCCAAAATATGCGCTGTGACAGTTTTCCAGAGAGCGAAAGAGAGGAAGAAGAAAATACAGAAAAGTAGAAGACTGCTGATTAAAACCAAATGGAGCTATTTCTGTTTTAAGTTAGAGCTAGTAAAAGGAGTCAGAGACAGTCAAACAGGTATGGATCCCAGGATCAGACTGGAATGGCAAACAGTCACCTCACTGGCTCAATGTCATAGGATTGATAAGGTTTACAGTGTTTGTCCAGCAATTACCAAAATGTACACAAAGGCTATGAATAAGAAAGCTGTAGAATAAATAAATAATATAGTGTGTTTTACTGACTTAAGTTCGTAATTATTCTGTGTAACATTTATTAAACATGGTTTATATAAAGAAATGTTAAAGTTAATTAAAACAACAATCTAGGGGATAGGGCAAACAAAATCAACACATTTATTTAACAGTAAATGTGAATCAAATAGACTTAATCACAGTACACTGACTCTAGGGGGCATTACCAAACAAACAGTCAATGCTCTCTATATCCAAAGGAAAAGAATTTCGCTCAGCTGTGCTGGCAGGACAGAGAGGAAGATAGAGACAAGAGAGACAAAAAGACACGAATAGAGCGCTCCAAGTCTTATTGAAACAAACCACTTCCGTCTTCCCGGGAGCTTTTCTAGTGTGTTTTTATACTTCCCTTCATATCCTTTTTGCCTTATCTTTGCTTTCCACCACATTTTTACAGTTTCATGGTGGAAGCCTATCAGGGCCGAAAGTCTCCCTCTCTCCCTTTTTTAAGCTATAACTAAAGAAAATATTTTGGGTGTTGTGGCCTCTCATGGACAACTATTCTCAGCTTGCCTATCCTACCTGTTGGGAGGGGATACCCTAGACCACAATGTTGTTTTGACCTTATAACCACTTTGAATTTCGTCAGATCCCCTTTGTTACATCAGCTGACTTGTCAGTACTCATCCAGCTGTGCGTGCAGCTGAGGGAGTATCCTGATGGGAGACAGGGCAGATCTTTTTCATCTGACAGTGATTATGGGAAACGGATAACGGAGGGATACGGGGGGAGGAGGAAGGAAAGAAGACGAAAGAGTGGGAGAGGGAGTGACAGAGTTTTTTGTTATATTACCATGCACTATCACTTTGCACTGCAGCCAGATGAGGGATTGTTTTTTTCTGGCTGTCTGAGTCAGTGTCTGAGACATTGTCCAAGATGGAGTAAGCAATAGGGTGGGATTAAAGCAGGAAGCAGGACACCAGGAGATAGATCAGATGACACATCATGTCTCTTTTTTGACAAGTGGACATGTTTACAGTTGAATGAAATTGGCATGTAATTATGTCGTTATCACTTAGATGATGTGTCTTGGGTAAAGTAATTATATTCAATCATTTCCCATGGAAGTTTAGAGTTTCAACGAGGCCCCAAATCCAGCACAGAGCACAGATAATTAATGAACTATGGGTCATGAAGGTAAGATGAACTCCACTGCACTCTGATTTTTTTCTCCCCTCCGTTATCATCCAGCAACAGATCCAGTCAGGTCTTCACAAACTGCGACCAGAAATCAGCCCTCTGTACAGCGGGCCACCAGAGTGGACAGAACAGCTCACCCATCAGGCGTCTCTAATACCCGGACACACAGGAGGGCGCCTCAATCCTCCTCAGGTCCCAGGCAGCCTGAAAGAGCTTTGGCCGGAACCCCGCTGTTGGAAAGGAGACGTCAGCACCACACCAAGCCTCAGTCAGATCAGAGGAACCGAAACACAGCCAAACTAAGTAAGAGGACCCACATCTTACACTCTTAAACACCAGATTGTAAAAGACAAACCTTTAGGTTCAAGTAAAATATGATGTTGAGAAGACTGGCAGTCTTCAAACTGCATTTTGCAGATCCTACTCTGATTTTTTTTTTTTTTTCTTCAATGAGCATTGAGCTAAATGTATAAATTTTGTTTGTACTATCTTTAGTGTCCATAGTGTAAACCCTGCTCGTGCCTGGTATCCCTCTTTATTCATAGCATCTGAGTCCGTTCATGTGGTGTCACTGCAGGCACAGAAAGCCCAGGGCCAGAGTGCACCCGCCAACAGAGCAGTCGTAACCAAAACAACCACACCAGGTACTTGCAGGTTGCTTTTGTCTGCCTCTATGTCTTTCTTTATACTGTAAACAGCACAACATTGCTCATCATTATCCGTGTAGGCTCAGTGAAAGTGCATGAATGTTTGGTATCATGGTGCCAAAATCTCCACAAACCACTGAATTCTGTGATTTTAGAAGCTGCTTTAAGATTTGTTTCATTTTAAGAAAACATAGCTAGACATTTTTTTGTCTCTGTGTCGTTGTGTGTGTTTGTCTATGTGTGTGTTGACCAGAGCCACCAGAGTACGAGGCTCGGGACATCAGTGTCAGGGTCATGTCTCCTCAGTCTGTCCTCATCTCCTGGGTTGACCCTGCGGTCGAGATGGGAAAAGTTGCCCCTGGGGCATCCAGGTGGGATCTGTTAAAGTGTGTGTTAGTGCATGTGTCTTTCAACGAGACAGAGAGAGAAAGAAAGACCATTTAACAGAAAGAGAGTGAGTGAGAGATAACACTTCACACTGAAATGAAACATTTTCATTCTCTCTTAACTCAGATCCTACGCAGTTAGGTACAGGGAGAAGGGTGAGTCAGCACGCTGGGAGTACAAGGACAGCACCCAGAGGAGAATGATGATTGACACCCTGTCTGCTGACGGCATGTATGAGTTCTCTGTCAGAATCTCCCAGGGAGAAAATCATGGCAAGTGGAGCGTCTCTGTCTTTCAGAGGACCCCTGAGTCAGGTGTGTACTGTCACTTGAGAATTGCTTTTAGAATATTATTTTGTAGGTTGTGCTGCAGCTGAGGGATGGTGATGGAAACTGATTTCATTTTAAGAGAAGTAGCTTTCGAGAGCCAAAGCCCTGCATTTTTCTTAGTATGAGTATGAAAAGAGAAATTATTCTCGCAGAAAAGAATTCATTCTTGCATAACCCTGTCTGTTAGCTCTTTTCTGCTTATTTCCTCATACGACACTTCATCACATTCACTCCCTATTATTCGCATTTGATATTTGATTCTAGTTTTGGCTGCCGGTCTGTCATGATTGCAGCATTTATACAATGCCATAGCAGCTCCTGAGCCGCGGTTCATTGGAATGTCAGCGTTTACTGCCTGGCTCACAGCTCAGATCTCCTTCTGCACTTCCATACATGAGCTCAAGGGGAGGTTTCCCTGACAATGTATGGCAGCAGTATTCTCCTCAGCTCAAGCCTCCTGGCACAAACGGCCCCGCTGTTTTTACATACTGTAAGCAGCAATTTCCTCACCCTGTTCCCTCGGTGCTGCTTCTGGTTTCTCCCCCCGCCGCTCCTCCTTTCACTGCAGTCTGTCCGTTCACTTGTGTTCTCCTCACTCACCAGCACCATCTGGACCACCGGAGAACTTCGAGGTCAAGCCACTGCGAGGGAAAGGAACTGCTGTCGTTGCAACATGGGATCCACCTGAGGAACCCAACGGGAGGATAAGAGGTCAGACCTGGAGGATTGAAGTAAAATTGAAAATAAATGTATTTTTGCAAAGAAATCTGTAAATATACAGTATATCCTGACTCTTTGACTTGTGGACATTTCATTTTTCACATATTTTTCTTCCATGACAACGCCCCCTTCATTAGTGTTCATCCAGTGTCCATGAACTTTTGGTTCTGGCTGACAGTGCTGGTACTGTAATTTGATTGGTGCAATATTTATGTGGGTGGAAACAAAACATAGTTTGTAATATGCTTTGTCCCATCTGTGAGAACTATGTTACTCAGCATATTAGCAGTTAGTGTCATGACTCAGGTCACTGGGTTATGTATGAACTCAGTGCTGAAGCCACAGGACTTGGTTTTGTAAGTTTTAACCATTTGGCTAATTTCCTTCACCACACCCTGCACCCATGAAAGAGAGACAAATGTTGAAAGTCTGAAAGGGAGAGATGTTTTTCCTGCTATGTGGGCTTGTTGAAAAATGGCAAAAGAAATGTCTTCTTTGCTTAATTCAGCTTCTTATAGAGTCTGACCCCATCTCTTCATTACAATTGTTCATCATCTACCTCCAAACAGAGTACATCCTGTCTTATGCTCCTGCTATGAAGCCATTTGGAATGAAAAGTGTGACGCACCGTGGCAGCAGCAACACAGCCACCGTAGATGGCCTCACACCAGGAGACCGGTACATCTTCAAGATTAGAGCCACCAACAGGAGGGGACAGGGACCACAGAGCAAAGCCTTCAGTGTTGCCATGCCGGGATGTAAGCATCTTTATTCTGTGTCCTCAAGCATGTGTACTTAAGAATTTGTTTCATCCTAAATTCATGACAAAATACATTTTTGTCCATTGCCAGCCATCAGCACTGCCTCGTCGTTCTCAAAAACCAAGGACACCCGCAGGACCGGCCACACTCCTTCCAAACAGGATACTGACCATGATGAGTCTGACCTCTTGTCAACAGAGGAGCCAGACACACCCCCGCAGCCACGCCCTGCTGCATCTGTCAACAGGCATGTACGCCCGCTTTCCCAGACACGCTCCTATCACAGCATCTTCTCTTCTGTAAGAGGCTCAGTCAGGAACACAGCAAACAGAGGTTCATCCAGAGGAAGAACTCAAGATAGAGAAGATGAAGAGCAAGACGAAGAGCAAATACCCACAACCCCCCCTCCAGTAGAAGAGACAACAACCATGGAGGTTGTACCGGAGACAGAAGAGCCAGACAACGATGTTTCCCCTGAATCTGAGGATGAAGAGGGATATGGTGAAGAGCCCCAGACTACTGAGACCCCCAGCCTCAAAGTTTTGACGCCCTCACCTGCTAAACCTGCTCGCCCAGCCAGAAGGCCCATTAAGATCAGGGTCCATCAAAAACCTGGATCCAAGGCTGCTTCTTCCTCCTCCTCCTCCTCCTCCTCATCTTCTTCATCTTCTTCTACATCCTCCTCCTCCTCCTCCTCCTCCCCCTCTTCTGATTCCTCCTCATCTTCTTCTCCCTCTACCTCCTCGTCATCCTCGTCATCCTCACCTTCTTCAACCTCATCATCATCTTCTTCACATATTCAAGAGTCAGCAGTCAGTAGAAAGGACAATGTAGCTTCTTTATACCCGGAAAACAAAGACACCTACGATAAGGTGAGCATAACACACAGCAAACCTTCAACTCCAGTTGTAATAAAAACTGATTCACCGCAGTCTGGGGCTACACCTGTAGGTAGGGGTTCAGCTTCAGGAGGGCGCACCAGTGGGTCTGGTTTTGGTTCTAGATATGGTTACAGCCGAAGACATCCTGGAATTTTGGTTAGAGGGAATTCAACCCGAATGCTGAATGGTTACAAACCTGCCATCACCTCACAGTCAAATCTACCAAGCAGAACTCCAAACCAAGCAACAACAAACACACGTTCTTCAGCAACATCACAATCCACTGTTCCAGACAGGACTCAAAACCACGAAACATCGCATACGTTCAATCCAACGGCATCAAAGTCAACTTCAGGAAGTGCTTCTAACGGCCAAGCAACATCCGGTACATATAATTTCGACAAGTCACAGACCAGGTCACAGTCCAGGTCACACGGCTCTGCGACGTCAGATACACACAGCTCAAGCGCTAATCCATCCACTTCACAAAGCAGCTCACAGCACCCATCTACTGCAGGATCAGGCTCTTCTCAGTCAACGTCACACGGAGGATCTCACAGCTCTGCAACTTCACACAACACACACAATTCAGAGAGTTCACACACATCGCCTGAGCGAGACACAGCATACGGTGAGGGAGGTGATGCCAATAGAAATAAAAACACAGATACAGAAACAAGCGAAGTTGAAGAGCCTACTTCAAGCTCTATAAGACAACCCACAGAAGAGCAAGGAAGGGAGGAGGAGGGAAGGGAAGAGAGGACTAATGTAAATCCTGGGGGTTCTCGTACCAGAATTAGCTCCTCATTTGCCGAAAGATTCCCTTGGCTAGCTAGTCGTTATCCAGGCCGGTTCAATTCAGGAACAAGGACGTCATCTTCCAGGCAGGATGGTAGGACCCCATGGACCAGGACTTCTTCCTCTATAGGGGCTGGCAGACCCATCATGAGGGGAACATCCACTAGGGTCTCAGGGGCCACGGGTGCTGCTGGAGTGTCCTCATTACAGGAGACCAGTGAAGATCTGAAGACTCCTTCCACTCATGATTCACTAAAGAATGGGGTTGGGGTGGGCTCGGTTAAGCCTTCTGTGACCGATAAAAGTACAGCACCTATTGACACTAGAAACCCAACTACCTCATCCTCCTCCTCCTCCTCTTCTTCTTCAGCTTCCTCTTCAGCGTCCACGTATCCAAATTCTCATCATTCCTCAGGTGGGCACAGAGACTCAAGTGAGCCCATTCATAGAGGAACATCTGATGACACTGACAGCAGTCATGGTAAGGACTATGATGATGAGAGGAGTAGAGAAAATCGTGGGAAAGTTGCAGACCCCACAGTCGCCCAGAAGAATCCTGCTGTAACATCAGCTGACCCTGACAGAAACGCAGAGGACAACGAGAGTGTGGATACGAGGGAAACTCCTTCGCGGACCAGGACCGGCACATCTTTTGGAATCACACCGACTCACCGTCGACCTGGCGTAGGGGTGAATGGGAGGGTACGCTCTCCTCTGTTGGCTAGCAGGCAGTTTGGTGGGTCCAGGCTTCCCATCAGACCACAACCAGCACAGAACTCAAGGCTGGGTTCCTCAACATCAGGATCATCCTCATCATCGTCTGATTCCTCTTCTTCATCAAATTCACCCCAGACAGCGTTGACCTCAGGTCGCGAAGCTGGCACTGGCACTACTGTGACGAGGACAGGGGGAATAATTGGAGGAAACTCTCCTTCAACATCGTCATCTTCATCATCCTCATCATCTTCATCTAGAGACAGTTTTAGGGGACAGGGGGGAAGGCCTCGGTATCCTATCTCCAGAGGGAAACCAACCAATGGAGGAGCAGTCAAACCTGCCAATGGAAATGGTAAAGTCAGTTGTTAAAGTGCACAGAAGATGCAAGGATTTGCATGAGCAAAAAAACGAATTAAATGATGAATAATGTGTAGATAAAATAGCTTGATACTATGCAGTACTTTGCTTTAATCTTTCAATTGTTTAGGTAAAAATGGGCGGCCCAACCTGACAGCAACAGATGATAAAGATTCCTCCTCCTCTCAAGGAATCAGTAAAGCTGTTGGTCAAAGATTTATCACTGGACCTGATGGAACCAAATGGGTATCTATGTTTAATGGTCTTTAAGTACTTTCTTCTGTTATTGGCATGCTCTAGCATGACATACCATAGACTGTACTGTAATGTATCACTTTTAAGGAATAGTTAAACTTTTTTTTTTCTTTGTTGCTGAGGGTTAGATGAGATCCTTGTGGTAAATGTGAAGTCACAGCCAGGAGAAGTTGGTAGCAGACTTGAAACAGCTAGCCTTGGCTCTGTCTAATAGTCTCTTCTGGCAGACTGGCAACCTCACAGTGATGACGATACCCCAGTAATTTACTGTGTCGATCCAAGAAATAATCTGGCACATAATGCCCAATAAAACCAAAAGGTGTTGTTTTTAAGATTTGTTTGCTTTTACTGATTAAACAAACGAGATGTAGCATGTTAATTAGCTATCTTTACAGTTGCTGGTAGGCAGGTTTTTTGTTTTTTTTTACCCTTGGACAGAGCCAGGCAGGAGTCTTTTCATCTAACTTTGATCCATTCTTGTAAAACAGATCATTTGTTTTCATTCAAAGTGTGGATTGCAGAAATGACTTCACTAAATCTCACAGTCAGGATGAGGCAATAGTTTATCCTTTTTATAGATTACTGGATTACTGTATAGCTTTGGTAAATATTTCTGTTCATCTAGGTGGTAGATTTGGAGCAAGGGGTTCTCATGAACCAGGATGGACAAGTTCTCCAGGACTCCAATGGCAAACCCAAGAGAGTGGTGCTTGGCGAGGATGGACGCACAATTTTTGGTGATACACTGCAGACAATCTTACATTAAATTCAAACATACTGTATAAAGATTGAACATGTATTTGAAAAACATCTCTTATTCTCATTATTAACTTACTGTTAAAGACAAGATCATGAATATTATGTCTCCCCTTCTCCTTGTTTGACTCATCCACCACCTACCAGACCACATGGGCAGTCCTCTGGTGAACCAGGAAGGTATGGCTCTGTTCGGCCATGGCAGAGATAGCCGGCCTGTGATCAACCCCAAAGACAAGGTCCTCATGGTTGGAGGGAAACCTGTACTTGGCTTGGACCTGCCTCACCTCAGGACTTCCACCACCACCACCACAACCACCACCACCACTACTACTACCATGGCTCCTACTACCACACCTGAACCCACCACCACCGAATGGCCAGAGGAGACTAGCACTGCACTTCCATTCCCAACCTGCCCACCTGGAACCTTCTCCAAAACAGATGAATATGGGTATCCAGTGCTGGATCCAGAAGGAATATTGGACTGTTATCCAGAAGGTGAGTCTTTATTTTGAGATTCATAACACACTGCAGATAGCAACATAGGTTCTGAATACAGAGTTGTGATAAATAGAGCAATACCCTTACCTCCAATATTGCTTTGTAAATAGTTTTTTCCACAGAACTGATGTCAAGCTTAGCAAAGTGTTTTTGAGCCAGAACACAAATAGGTATGACTTCACTAAATCTCTCACTTGTATTGTTTGTCATATCCATCTAGGCCAAGGCCATGAGTGTTTCCTGTCTGTACCCACAGAGTCCAATAACTCTATAACACTATGTGTGTGTGTGTGTGTGTGTGTGTGTGTGTGTGTGTGTGTGTGTGTGAGAGAGAGAGACCAAATGACTCATATGTAAGTCTCCACATCTGGGCCCTGGCTGTGGTCAGAGTACTGCTGGTTTAGAAGCACTAGGAGCTGTCAGAGGCACTAACATTAGTGTTATCACATTCAGACATATAGACAATGACTGAAACTCATTTAAACACACACATGCATGAACACACACAGCAGGGTAATATATATATATATATATATGTATACATAACTACAAATGATTCACCATCTTCCAAATTAGCCAGGGTTTTAAACTATAAGCAGAAAAGCTGTTGTTCTGAGTAAGTGAATGAAAATTCAAAGTAAGTGATGAAGTATTTCAGTATTTGGGTTAGGGCTAAATTGCAACGAAATCTTGCTTAGCAATAAATAAATTATGGTGTGTGGATTTTTGGTTCTATTGGCGAAGGAATCATAGTGATATTTATTTACGACTTGAGTGTAGTTTTTGGCATCCCATTCTCAACAATAGATAAAGTCCCACCAAAAATATCTCATTTCTGTCTCATTGTAATGGCAAAATGGGTTTGCCATTGGAGTCTTGGCAATATACTAGTTAAAACAAGTAAACTTTCCCATTGAAACAAGATATGTTGACAATTATTTTTTTTCCCCCACTGTGGCAGCTCTGTACCATCCAGTGCCTATTATTAGAGCAGCAGCAGCATGTATAACCTCAAGCTGGAAAGATGTTTTCCTTGTAAAGTCTACAAGAGAGAAAACAGCGCCAGTGTGGATTTTACAATGCTTTTTCATTCACACATCACACACTTATGTTGACTGAGATCTAGCCAGGGTTGCTTTAGTGTGGAATTATGTATTAGTGCTTGTCCCTATGTGTTCAAATAGCTTTGTGTACATGGATGTGTGGGTGTACATGTTTATGTGCATATGCCAGTTCACAAATGTGTACATATCCATGTGAGATTGATGCTACAGCTTGTTCTACTTCTCTGACAGAGGAATCATCAGGAATGGAAATGGACCACATGGTTACAGTGACCATGGTGCCTGATGCTTTAGCTCTTAAGAAAGGTATTGGCTGAGTTTGGCTTCGGACCAACCTACCGCCACTGGGCTGGATGGACTAAAACGCACTGTATGCTCATTGTTTGTTGACCGTTTACCACACTGTTTGGTCCATTGTCTGTTTATCTGTCAGTGGATCTGTTTGCTAGCCCTTCCTGTCTCTTCCTCTTTGCCTTGCCTGTGGTCTTCACTCTGTTTCTTCTCCTTGTACGTTTGTTTGGTTTGGTCTTAGTTCATTGCTGGGATTTTGGATATTTTCCATTCTGGGCTGTTTTTCATCACATTTATCCCAAAAAACTGGACCCAGGCTGCATGTGAACTGTATTACTAAGCGGAAGAGAATGCCCTGGCTTATGATTCAATGCAATGTATTTGCTGTTCTTAACGTTGCTTTGTAATGTAATAGATGAACCCCGGTTTCGGCCAAACACTAGCTGAATGGAAAACTTGGTTGTAAGGATTTGCATCTTGTAATTTCACTATAGGCATTTGGATTTCGGAATAAATCTGTAGCATGTGAGCATTACAATATTTTCATAGCATTTCTTTGCCACGGCTCAAAGCTGGTTGCATGTGTGTGCACCATGATGTAATGCCAAGCTCCACTGGTGCAGTACTGGGACAAAAACAGTGATGAAAGAGGAAGGAACTAATTGAATTTCACCCACTGAATCCTTTCACATTTGTCAGCCTTGGAGACTTGGCCGTTGTCTTCAAGCTCCACCCCCCCACCCCTCACATGGAAAATATGGGTAGCAAAACATTACATAAGAATACAGCTTTGGGTGTTGGGTCTTTTGAGAGTGATCTCACATGTCTGCCCATAATTAAGTAACTCTCTTTAACACTCTGACTACACAGATGATGGCGACCATTACAAAGGATTAATAAAACACTACAGCATGTTATTGAGTTGGGATGTGATTAACATAAATCTCTTTTTAATCAAAAGCTCACTGACACATGTGTTGTTGCTAGATGAGCTTTTTGTCCAGACCACCCTGCCGCCGACCACCACCACCACCACCACCACCACCACCACCACAACAGCAACAACCCCCACCACCACAGAGATGGCAACTCCGCCGCCACGCGCCAGACCCATGAACCAAGGCCCTTCATCTGAGTTTGACCTCAGTGGGAAGAAGCGATTCACAGGTAACGCAATGGTAGAAATAGGTGTGTGTTTGTCAGTGAGTCTTTGCTCATATGTCTTTACTCTTGCACAAAAGCCTCTGTCACTGTTTGATGTACATCTTAATGCAATCTCTTCCAGAGTTTAGCCTTGTTTCCGGTGCACGTCCAGCCTCAGATTTAATATCGCATTCCCATTATGCATGATGGATCTCTTTATAAAAGGAGCTTAACCCCATCTGACAGACAGACAGTAAATTCTTTTTTTTTTGTACACTGGGTCTTTTTCATACGCACAGTGTATGTAAAACCATCCTTTTAGCTTCTTCCAAGGAGAAAGGAGATTATAATTTTCTATTGGTTTCTCTTACAGAGTTAAGATTTGAGTTTGCCGTGTAGCTCCAAACTCAGATTTTAGGTTTACCATCACATTCTCATTAAGCATTATGGATCTCTTTTTAAAAAGAATTTAACCCCCTCAGAAAGACAATAAGTTATATTTTCACCTGATGCATGAAAAAACATCCTTCACCCAATAATGTTGCTTCTCCCAAGAAGCAGGAGAGTATATCTTTTTATTAGTCTCTGTGAGATTACTCTACTGCAGATGTCAGAGAGACTAACAAGAATAACACATGTTATCTTTACCCGATGACAAGATGAATAGAATATGTCTTTAGCTAAGAAAGTAAAGGAGCATGATTGACCATGCATGCTTGGCTTCTGAGTATCATATATATTGCTGGTCCCCCGTTCATGAGTCTGTGTGATGGTCTCTCGGTGCCATAAATCATGACAGACTGATGGGAGTTCTGCTTTGTTTCGTAGAGGAGTAATAAATTTGGACCCTTATCTTGGCTCTCTTAGCAATACCTCATAAATATATGACCCCGTCAGACTTTACAGAAACAATCGGCCAAGAAAAAAAAGAAAAATCTGCAAACATTTTCCTTCACTGTAAGTCGTTTTTTACCCCTCATCCACATCAAAATGTATGCTACAATATGGTGCCCACGCAAAGTGCTGAAGGGTCAAACACCAGAGAGTTTAACTATTGATTTTAGACTACTGTTTGTTTACATATATGACTATACTATAGATGAATATTCAGACATTACATTGTGGAAAATGGCAATAAATACAATTCAGGACTACTGATTCATTCAAATTGGTTCCATCTACCCTTAATTGGCTCAAAATAACAAAGTTAACTGAGGACACATTGTTAAAGGTCTCTAGCCTTGATCCTAGTAAACTTTGGCCCCCTGCTTTCTTTTTACTGTTCTTGTGTGCTTACTTTGGCCTCTCATACTCTATCCCTTCATCTGGTTGCACAAACAGACCAAAATATTCTCCTGACAGAAATAAAAATAAAACTTACATGACTCCAACCTTCCTAAAAACTACTAAAGTCAGAGGTCCTTTTAATATTACTTTGTTTAATGACGGCACTTTCTGTCATGTTTCAGCTCTTTAAATAGTAGCTGTGGTAGTAAATTGTTGCTTGTGTATTTACAGAAAATGATTGGTAAGTGCTTTCAGCTTTGGGAATTTGTGTTGTTAACATAGTCAGAACATAGACATTTTAGTGCTCAGAGCAAGTGAGGGACAGTCCATCTGCAGCAGAAGAGAAGCCATAAGCTTGTAACAGCTGAAGTGAGTAGACTTTCATAAATGAGTATTAAAGAGGTGATTTAGTGTTGCATTTCCATAACATTGGGGGGACTTGTGATGGTCAGAATCAATGCACGAAATCAGAGATATTATCCCTTGGCAAGCCTCAAAACCATCTGATCCTACACTTCCCATAATGCAAATCAACACCATTTTTGGTTAGACCGTCCCTTGTCTACTCAAGTTAAGGTACAACAGATGTCCCATGAGTAATTTTCTCAGTTGACAAATTTCCTCCAGAACCACAGAAGAAATTGTACAATTGTTTTCACAGGCTGTATAGTACGCCCCATAGCAAGTAAACTGACAGACTCTGGCCTTTAAGAATCATGGGTAATCATTCTGGATGTGAATCAGCAACGAGTGCCAGTAGCTTCAATATGTGCCTGTTGCCAGTCTACAGATGTGGATAAAACCTTGAGTAATGGCGCCACTGTCACTTAATGACAGATTAAATGAAAATTGTCACTGTCATTTATATTGATCTTTGCTAGAAACCTTTTTTTGAAGATTTAGGGCTGCGTCTTTATCAGTGCAGTGTCAGAACTATCAGTAGGATCTGCTCCAGAAGCAACAGTGGAACAATAACATGGCTTACTCTGGACACCATTTATCTTGATAAACAACGGCTTTCTTGTGATCACACACCTCTCATAGAGCCATCTGAAAGTGATTACTCTCCCAAGTTCTGAGAGAAAAACAGACGAGAGCAGAAGAGCAGTGGAAATCATAAAAGTTATGGAGGCTGACCTCAGCACGGAGAGTAGAGACTGTTGGCTCCATGTGGAGACATCCTCTTTCCTATTTATTAGTTTAATATATTTTAGGTCCACTTAAGCAGCCTGCCAGTCCACAGACCTGCTTTGCATGCACCGTCTGAAAGAGACCTCATCTTTGTCCCTTTATCTGTCCAGGTTCAGTTTATTTTGAATGAATCTAGCCCAAGGCAGTACAAAAAAGTATCCGCTAATAATTCTTAGCAGTTGTGTGAATCTTCTTTACAGTAAGCTCCAGATGGATGGAGTTTGCCACATTGGACAAGAAAATGAGTACCAGGATGTTTGGACTATTGAAATGCTAATTTATGCCTTACTAGACAGATATTAGGGCTGACATTATGTGAACCAACCCGATGCTGTTTCCAAGTCACATTTGATCCACGTCAGGCTCAGACATACCAGTCTTCATCCGTGTTTTGGATTTTGGTTTTTTCGACAAGCAGAAGAAGACAGTGTGTCCCTGTAGGGAGGTTCTTTCAGCATTTCAAAATGAACACATGAACAAAGCAAAACATCTGGATCTGGGTCTTCCCACTGCATCAGTCTGCACAGATCCATGTGGATGCTGTGCAGAAAAGCAGCCTTACAAGCACCCTGTGTATAGACGGACACATAAATCTGCGCGCCGTGACAACAGATTGTGTATGTCAGTGTATGAGTGCGTAATACATAAGCCATATGATTGTGTTTACACATACAACAAGAGCTTGCAACAGCCTGAAGGCACACAGCCTCGCAGACTGTGTGTTGATGTGCAGATAGTGACACGTGTTAGACTCTTGGCCGGCACAGAGGGCCAATCATCTGGGGAGGTGGGAGTGACTCCAGGCTCCGCTGGTTCCCCCCGAATCCCAGCCAGTCTAGGAATTGTGGGATATCTGAAGTATTCGCAGCTGTAGGTTCAGCTGGTATTTCCAGAGTCACTAAAAACATTTTTTTTTTTTTTTTTTAAGAAGGACAGTGGAGAAGGGAGGAGATTCGGGAACAGCCAGATATAGAGGGATGGTCACATGAGCAAGCAAGCTAAAAAACGTCTATCAACAAACCACAAATTATTTCAAAATGACTGAACAGGACTGACAAATTTAAAATTGTATGATTTGAAAAAATCTAAAAGGCATATATTAGGAAAATATGTAGTTGAAATAAGTGAATTGATTCCCTTCCATCACTTTTTTCCTGCCATCAGCTCCCTATGTGAACTACATCCGGAAGGACCCGGGTGCTCCTTGCTCCTTGACAGAGGCTCTGGAGTACCTACAGGTTGACGTCCTTGAAGACCTTATGAAGAAGGACAGCGTGGCAGCCAGTCAGAGACAGCCTCCCAAAAACAAGCCCCATAACTTCACTATTGTCGCCATGGAGGGCTGCCATTCATTCATCATCCTGGATTGGGCCCGCCCACTGAAAGGGGATATGGTGTCAGGTAAGTAATTTAGTTTTTTCAGAAGTTGAAGTTATTGAAAATTAATTCTTGTTAAGAAATAAGTACATATATCTTCGGTGTTCATTTTGACTTGTCTACTTACTTACTTGGTCAAAATTTTTAATTCCAATAGGAAGAAATTTAAGTTAGTACCTGTTAAAAGTTAATATGTAACTTTTCTGCATTAAAATGTCTAAAAACAACCAGATCATTCCAATCTCTCCAGCAATTTTCAAACCTAGAGAAAGAAAGTTTTAAATCAAGGTAACAGTCTGTTTCATTTGGTCGCCTGTCAATGGCGTCATATCCCCTTTGTGCATGCTTCAGCGTTGTGGTTGTCTGCCAGCAAGCTAAATTAAGTAGGGCTGTGTTCAAAATCATTTGCTATGTAGTGCATTACATTTTACCTGCAGTGTGTGTAAATTCATCCATTTTATCATGCCCTCAAAAATTCCACAATAGAATGAAAAAAGTGTCCAGGGCATACACACTACGTCCTGCAAACAATCCCACAATGAAATGCGCCACATTTTATAGATCCAAAAGCTGAAACAATTGGTCAAATAAACCATTTATTGATTGATGAAAAGAAAAGGTAACTGTTTTGATAATCAATGAATGACTTAAATAATTTTAGAAGAAAAATGCCAAACTCTCTTCTGGTTCCAGCTTCTCACGTGTGAATTTGCTGCAGAGATTTAGGATATATTGTTACATGTTACTAGAATCCCTCTGGACTCAGAACTCACTCCAGCAGTAAATTGTTAATAAAATCATGGAAAAGCAGACTGCGTTGAACACGTGGAATATTGGGCTGCTCAGTTTTTCAGGGAAAACCAAAATTCTTCTGACCTAGAAAGTGACACTTGGGGGGAAAAAAAAAAAAAAAAAAGAAGGGACAGAGAAGAGACTGAAGATAACAGCCTACTGCATGAGACATGATGGACTATCAGGGGTAGCAGTCTGGCCAGCTAGAGAGGCAGCATGTTTTCTTTGGCAGGAAAACACAAGCTTCTGGTCATGCTGTGGGCTGGTCCTTCACTCTGATGTGTAAAACAGATAGATGGCCTCTACTGTCACTGGTGTTTTCTTCCTCAGTTTCTTTCCACTCGTTTTCCTTGGTGTTTCCTCTTTGCTCACACAGTTATCATGGCACTTTCCGTATTATGTACTTAATTTGTTTGGACTATTTGGCACCTGATGACTATTGTCACACTTTGTATTTTGCCCTACATACATAACATGTTGCACTCCTGAAACCAATTACTTTTAAATGATGTAGATATAGGAAATAGCTTTTTTTGTGACATAATCTATGATACCAAAGATTATTACCCAAAACTCTGTGAACATCTACCTATATGAGTTTCACATGTCGATTTTCTGATAGACTGGAACATTGTAGCACTGTAAAAGAGGATCCGGCATATCTGTCTAAGATATACTGTAAATAAAATACAAATTTTCTGACTCACACATGTACAGGTACAATTCACACATGCAGATCCAATCACAAGGCACTGTTTTAGTTATTAGGGAGTGTTTGCACAACCATGTCATACGAGTTATGGGTCATGGCTTTCAAAACAAATGCATGGAAACAGCTGTTGGTATGTGGGTGATTTTGTGTGGTTTTTACCTAATACCAACTTCTGAATTCTTTTACTGTGATGCATTGACGACCTTTTGCTTAAAGGTTTTGGGCAAAACAAGTGTTGCATTTGGCTCAAAGGACCAACTTCTAAGGAAGCAATTTAATGAATTTCTACCTTAAGTAGGGAAAGATAGAGTACAGGCGCAGATGGCAAAGGCAATATTACTCAATGAAACCTCAGTTTAACAATGTAAAATGGAGAAGGAATGAAAAACCAGAAGAAGAAAAACAAAGTAGCTAGTATTTCCCTTCCCTCCTGTCAGCAGCCAGCTGTGTTGGTGTGGATCCAGTAGAAATAGAAACTCAAACTCAAAAGTCCAATAGAAACAGTTGGTAGTTTGATGTGCAGCAGAGCTGGCCTCGAAAGTTTTAAAGTGAATGATCGTGGGCTGCATGACCTCAGGTTACTCGCGGGATTCTCAGGATTAGTCTGCGTGACTGAGGAGAAGAAGAAAACAGACGGACTGACAGATAGGAGGACGGTCTGCATGAGCTACAGAAAATGCCAGAACCTCACATTTTCCTCAGAGTTCAATGTGTATAGGAGACCACCTACAAAATAATTGAAACCATAAAATAAATCTTAGTACTTTACTAATTGTCATAGGGCATGTGAGTCCAAGACTGACAGAGCAAAAAAAGAAGGTTGTAGAAGTACCTTGTTTTTAAAGGAATAGTTCAGCATAAATGAAAATATAAGGCTATTGTCAGAGACTCAAGGAAGTTACTGTGCCCAGCCACAAAATAGTCAAAGAAAAATAATCCACAAAACCACAGCATGTTGTTTTTACACTTTGGTTTTTCTACAAGTGAAATAAACAAGCTACAAGAGTGTGTTACTTGTTGAGCTTTAGAAGTTCTTTTACTGTACAGACATGAGTGTGGTAGTGATTTTCTTGATTGAATCTTGGCAAAAAAAGGAAATAAGCGTGTTTCTCCAAACTGCTCTTTTAATGTTGAGCCTCAGGGTTTTGTTTTGTATCATCTCTAATTCAGCTTTTTAGTTTCTTCTAAAAGCCAATTAACTCTTCACTTTATTTTGTGTTGCTCCCTGCAGGCTACATGGTTCACAGTGCTTCATACGATGATGTCCTCAACAATAGATGGTCCTCTAGAGCCTCCAGCGGGACACATCTGCCTGTGGAGAATCTCAAACCCAACTCTAGGTAATGCATACAGCCCGGTGTGTGGGCTTATGTCACATGTATACATACAAGCAACACACACACACACACACACTTGGAGAGAAGCTAATGCGTGCATATGCACAATGCTTTCAGGCTCAGGGATTCCCAGTGTCATCTCACACATGGGAATCATAGAAAACAAGAACCTTATTTTACAAACAAAGATTTGCTCGGTTGCAAGATCCTTTACCCTGACCTGCGTGTAACGTTTATGATCACGTTGCTGCCTCGGGTGCAGGTGCTTGGCTGTGGCTTTGGAGTGTTTAATTCTACTGGGGCGTATTTATACCATTATCCTGTCATCACATAATGGACAGAATATACATCTTCTCTTCATGTTTGAGTCATATAATCTGCATACAGGATGTGTCTGCTGATGTTATGCTGTGTTTATGCAGGAGTATGTTGCCAATTGTAATATCAAACCAGACTGACACTAATCAGAGCATGGATACTGATACTATAATTGTTGTATGAGAGGTCAGAAAGCCGTCAGAGTGAAGTAAATCCATTTAGCTAAATGGAGGCAGGTTAAGAAAGAAATTTGAATTCGCACCAAAATGCGACATGTAGTAAAACTCTGTTGAGACGCTGGAAAATTTGGTGGAAAATAAACACAGCACAGATTCGGTCCCTTCAGGCTGTTTCAGTTATCAGACCATGTTTTCACAACAATGTCTCATGAGACACGGGTCACGTTTTTCAAAATAAATGAATGGAAACTGCTCTTAGCACATGGCCGTAGAGAGGAGGGGAGATGTTATTGAAACCAGTTTCTTTTGCATTCACCTCCGTGCATCGAGGGGTTTAAAGATTTAAAGAAAGTGTAAACGGTGCTGGTAACTTTAGACTAGACTAGAGATTTCATACTCAATACATGTGTGTTTACGTATCATAAATAGTCACTAAAATGATGCAAGTTGAGGTAATCTGAATTGTTGTCTGCCATCCACTAAAACACAGTGATGAACCTGTATGGCATGTACCTTCAGAGAGCCGAATAAAGCAAGCTGTATGTCACATAACAGAGTCAATCAAAGTCCTCACTGGAAATGTGCCATCCTTAAAAACATATGGTTTTCATATTGTCTGTGTGAGGTGCGTGGACCTCACATACGATATTTAGGTATGTGCTACAGTCAGTCAATGACAAGCACAAGTTCTCCCCAAGAGATGAAAAACAATTTAAACATAGACCATTTCATACCTACAGTATAACCAACCTGACACTGTCTGAAAAGTCAAAATGATTTTTAGAATATAATCTAACCATCACTTGGTGGTTTACACGCTGAGAAACAGTTAACTAAGTTCAGATGCGTGAGTTCATCAGGAGCAGAAGTAACCTCTCGCCTGGTGGAAGCATGACTCTGTTGAGGTGTTATGATAGGTGTCTCATCTTTGGCTGTATAACCAAACACCTGCTGCTGAACACAAACAGCAGAGCCGCGTGCATGAGTAAAGTTTTCCAGGAGGCTACAAAGGGGGTTTCCCTCCCTGGCAACCAGCTTGTATTCACGATAGTGTGTCTCCCGTGGTTACCGTTGATCTTGGGATGGTTTATGGGATAGTGTTGGCATTTCCCACACTGCAGGCACCTTCTGCTTGCCAGAAATACTGAGCTACTATGGTACTAAACACACACATATGTACATTTACATATCGTGGATGAATTTCCTTGGATCCAAAAGCTTTCTTGCTTTTGAGTTTGAGTCTTAAATATTTATGGATGTCATGCATATTCTACTAAAGCTGCCTCATTATATCACATTTTCTCTCAAATTTAAAACTACTGTTCATATTGACAGATGCCACAACTGGATACCCCACAAGTAAACACTGGACTTGAGAAGACTTCCTTCTTCCATCCCATTGGATGAACTTTTAACTTCTTGGAAATAACTGTGATTGTTTAATCTGCAACTATTTTGATAATCGATTAATCATTTAAGTTTTCAGCTTCTCAAATGTGAGAACCTTCTGCCTTTACTTTGCAGTAAATTGATTCTCTTTTAATTTTGGTTTGACAAAACATGACATTTGCCGACATCAACCTTGGACTCTGTTCTTTGGTGTTTTATTGATCAAACAAGTAATCAAGAAAACAGTGTGGTATACAGATACGCTGTGACTTTGTTTGCTCTTCCACTTCTTTTGAACACTTTATAATTTCTTCAAGTTGATTCGTTTTCGTGGCCGAGCTGTCATGTAAACTGAGGAGCATGTAATATGGCCAGGCTGAATGTGTCGTACAGTATGTTTTCATCTGATGAGAAGCACCAGGAGCGATGCTGTGAACGAAGTCCAGAGATCTTTGTATTGAAAGTTTCAAATGGCTAGGTTGGCCTGATGTAACATTTTGTGGTCTATTCACTGTTTCTATATTCTGGCTCACATTTTCTTTTTTTTTTCTATCTTCTCCAATTTCTTCTCCAATTACTTTCATTACATCATCTCTCTGCAGCTGCCATACTCTCTCTCTCTCTCTGGTGATATATGTTTTGGTCGCTGTTGTCACGTGGCTGTGACAACAGTGATTGGATCCAGACCTCGTGGCTGTACATGGTGAAAGTTTTTGGCTAGAAATCGACAGACCGTGAGCTTACTGTGTGTGACCTTGCAGAGTAAAAGAAAACATATACGCACGCGAAGCGGCATGAATGGATACACACACACACACACACACACAGAAACATATATATCCAGTGGAAAGGTTTGTAAACCCTGGAAGTTGTCATTGGGGGTGTTGGTTTTAATCTGATTGGATTTTCTAATTCCTCCACCGCCAAAGTGAGCTCACTGTCCAACATATAGTAAAGTGCTCAATGAGAAATTTCTCTTTGGAGGATTCCCCATCTATCCATTCTTTCAGCGTACATCTGTCCCTGTGCTTTACTTTTTCCACATCCCTTCATTTTTCTGTCTTTCATCCTCCTATCTGTTAATCTCCACTTGTCTAGATGTCTCTTTTTCCCCTCGCTGCCCTTCCCTCCACCCCACCCTCACCCCCCCACCCCCCCTTCTCCCTTCAACATGAGCCAAATCGCCATTTTATTGTGCTGCGCTCACTTAGGATTCATGCGAATATAAAACAGACTACTCTCAAATGAGCCTGACTGAAGCATGCCCAGTCATCTGCTATGGTCATTAACATTTTCCTCACCTCCACCCAGTCACAACAAAACTGGCAGAATGACACTTCAGCTACTAAATCTCTCATTAAATCCTTCTGTTGTGGTTTGTTTTCCTTCAGGTACTACTTCAAAGTGCAGGCCAAGAATGTGTTTGGTTTGGGACCAGTCAGCGATACACTCACCTATGTCACTGAATCAGGTGTGTATCCTGTCAGCACCTGCTAAAGAAAACTTTGAGACGCCCCATTGACAGTTCAAACCACAGTCAGACTGGCTTTAGATTTTCTTTCTTTACTGTACACAAGTGTGCGCTGTTTGCGCAGTGGGCAAACAAAAATGTCACTGTGAGGGGTTCACTTTATTGCAATAAAAGATATTCACATAGAAAAACATCCGCCAGGTAGGAGCAGACTCCCAGATGTGCACTACATTTGTTATGTGTATTATGGCTTTTTCATTCCCATAATCAGGTGGATACATTAAACCTGCGGTGCTGTCTGTGCGCTTTTTCATCCCTGGTGAAATGATCGCATTCTTTTCTTTCAGACGATCCTCTTCTCATTGAAAGGCCACCTGGTAAGTCTATACACCGACTGCACATCTCTAATTTAAGGTCAACAAGCTGAGCCATGTCCTACTGAAGCTGCACTGCGCTTTTAAAGTGAGAGCCATCATTCTGTTAAACAACCTGCCTGGATCCAATTCTGCGTGAATGTTCCTCCTTACTCATTTCACACCAGTAACACTGTTTTGAATGGTTTTAGACATCACGCTGAATAAGTTAGACAACACCGGAGTCTGACCGATGTGTCAGCCAAGATGATATATCTGCCAATATTAGTTTATTGCAGACATTCATCCAGTGTATATTTTGGCCTTTCAGTTAGAAATTGCAGTACAGAAATGCCAAAGATATGTTTTAGGTTGTTCATTGTGTAGCTGTGAAGAAGGCAGGCTTGTGCTGAAACATAAAGTCTGCATTGCATAACCGTCAAAATGCTAGTTTAGAAACCGTTACAAAGTTTGTTTACAGGAGAGCTGTCATAAGGTTATTTTTTAACTGTAAAATGTCAGGACATATTTAGTTTACAATTCTTTAATAACCAAATGTGGGGGATCTTTATCAAAAAATGTGCTAATAAATGCTAAATATTGTAGTATGAGACATAAGCAATATTTTTTTATATGATTTCATTCATAACTAACACATAATCACACAAACTGCATACAAAACACAAACTAAACTAAACTAAACTAAACTAACTCATCTGCTTCGTACCCTGAATCCTCCCTAAACAGTGCAGGTTATTTCCTCAAGAAGGCAATTCAAAGTGCTTCACATAATATTGTTTATACTAAAAAGGCATTCAGGCAAGATATAAGAGACTCACAAGAGAAGATAAAAAGACACATAAATAGTATTTTAAAAGAATAAAATAAAAGAGAAGACAAGTGAAAAGCAAAAACTTAATTATAAATAAACAGGAGGGTAAAAATTGATCCCAGTCCTCAGGTTTTCTCTGATTTTGTTCCAGAGACGTGGAACAAAAAAACTTCATGCTCCCTCTTTATGTTTTGCTTTGATACTGGGAACAGTAAACAGGCCAGTCCCAGATGATCAGAAATGTCTGGATGAGTCATTAAGTATCAGCAGATCAAACACGTATTTTGGCCCTGAAACATTCAGCGTTTTATAAACCTGTAGCAGCATAAATCATCACAACATCAAGGTTGCAAGATATAAACTGAATCTGGCTGCTCCAATGAAACACACGCCCTCTACCTTCAGAACAGACCATTGCATATCCAACCATAAGAGTTACAACTGATATACATGATATTTCTATGTATGCATATTTTACCGCCACAACATGATGCATCCTCTCCCCTGCTCCTCAGGTGGAGAGCCAATCTGGATCCCTTTCACCTTCAAATATAACTCCGCCCACAGCAGCTGTAAGGGCAGCCAGTATGTCAAGCGGACATGGTACAAGAAGTTTGTGGGCGTGGTTCTGTGTAACTCTCTGAGATACAAGATCTTCATGGGAGACGGTCTTCGAGGTAACGTATCACATGACCGCTGTGTTTAATAATTAGAAACCAACACTGCTTCCGGCAGCATCTGCCAACACGTGTTTGTCGGTCTCACTTCACCTAAGCATTTGGTTTTATTTATTTATTTATTTATTTTTGTGGAGATAATCAACCTTAAATAATTGAAAATTTTGTTATTTTGCAGAGCCTTTTTACAGTATAGGAGACACATTTGGACAGGGAGAGGACCATTGCCAGTTTGTCGACTCCTACAGGGATGGAAGGACGGGCCCGGCCTACCTCTCTAATAATCTGCCCACAGCACAAGGTAAACAAGAACAGATTGTACACACATGGCACATTTATGGCTGTGATATTTAGACCTAACCTATTATCATATTTTCCCCATGATCTGTCTCTCTGGCTCTGTAGTGGACCAGCTGCATCGATCTTATCTACGCCGAATACAGATGCAGAATAATGCTTGAATGAATACCTGTTAAAAGACCCACCAGGGTTTTGCATGTTTTATTCGAAATCCCACATGCTTTTCATTAGCGCAGACCGTTTTTTTTAATTATACCATAACTTCTCAGACTAATGCCGTAACTTCTTGGCAATTGTTGTTTTCAGGTCGTATCGGTACATAAGGAGAATATTTGAGAGTTGCTAATGATTGTTGGCTTTATTTTTATTTTTTGGTCAAAGTTATATTAGCCTCGTATAGCTATCTTGTTGAAAAGTAAGTGATGTTTTGAGGACCATTTCTTGTTTGTGTGGTCACAAATACATGGTTTTATTTATAAGTAATCCTCAGTAATACTAACACTAACAGTAAAACTAACAGTGCATTGTTTTCAGCTTTGTATTAATGCACATTTGGTGCTCTAGCGACTATTTTACAGCAGCAGGATGGTGTTTGTGGGATTGATTCAATAGACAGTAGACATGTCATACATCCAAGAACATAACCAAATGATTGCCAAAAAGTGTTAAGTTATGACTATATGTGTCTAGATATGCTCAGTTTTTACTATGTTAATGTGTCCTAATACATTTCTGTGAATAAGTGCATTTCCATTCACCAGTTTTTACACACATTTTTGATTCAAAACAAAAAAACGTAAGTGGAAATGCCAGAATCTTTTTTTGTGGGGTTGGGGAGGGGGGGGGGGTCAAAATATCATAAAACATGTTTTTACGCTTGCCTGAAGTGGAAAAGTTGGTGTATCAGAAATAACAAAACGCAGTGAAAGTGCAACGGAAACAGACATGGTGAATAAATCTCGTACATGCAGCATGTGACTTCCATGTCCACTGGAAACACTAAAAATAGTAGCAGCGGAAAACATCACATCTGTGTGATTCAGTGTGGACACGATAATGATCCTCCAGTTAATACATGACACAAATATAAATACCATATTTCTATCATGTGTCCCACCTAGTTTTCATTTGTTTGAGGTTTTGCAGGAGCTCTTTTAATTACGACATCTTGTTGCGCTCTCTTCTTCTGCAATGATTTATGGCCATCGAGAGAATGAGCCACGAGATGTCTACCTCAACACACTCTAACTCCTAATACTCACATAAGAGTAGTCAATGGAAACACACATTAACTTGCATTTTCTTTTGCCAATTTTCTGGAAATTCAGTTCAAACTTGCACAATGGAAACCTTTCTAACGGCTATAAACAGCATTTGCTATATGCTTCTGTTACAGGGTTTTATCGTGCATACAGACAGGAGCCAGTCACATTTGGAGTTATTGGCAGACGTACATCCCATCCGTTCGTGGGTTGGTATGAATGCGGGGTGCCCATCCCCGGGAAGTGGTAACACAGGAGGAGGAGGAGGAGACATTGTTACCAAGGGCAACTGTTCTGCATCCTGCTGCAGGCTCACACCTTCTCTGGTCCTGCCCTTGAACACAGACTTTTGCCTGCCAGAAGAAAAAGACACCACTACAAGTTTATTACAGCTTCACAGAAAGAGAATATAGTACTTTTAAACAACTCAGTGTATATCATTACGATGCACTTTTTATATAAAGCAGTTTGTATATGAGGGAAAAAGAGGCATGTGTGCTCTTGCTTAGTTTAACTCCTTTCTGAAAGTGTCCTTGTACTATTCCAAACTGTCCCGATGACAGGTCCTTACCCAGTGTTATTTATCTCATCAAATAATGCACACACATGGTCAAACCAGTGACATTGGACCAAAGCACAAGCTGCAAAGAAAACTGTAAGAATGGGCACTTAGAGTGTGTATAGGTCTGTTAATTTTCAGTTGTGAGATTCGTATTTCATAATGTAATGGCTTCTGACAGCTACTTTTTGTTTATTTGTGTTCTAAAATCAGCATACAGTTTTTTACACCCTTTTGGTATTCACCAGAATTCATTAAGAGTTACTGTGTAAGTTTTGTATGTGTACGGACAAAGAATAAAAGACCAAATATTTGCTCAGGAACTGTGGGAGATTGAATAAAGGCGCTATGGAAACCACAGCAATCCAAAAACATGAATCATATCATATTCTCCCGCTGCCACATTCTTTTCTAGCAAAAGCTTCCACACGTGATCCAGATCTACTTAATCAACCTAATGGAAGATATGAGTAACAGAGCAAGTTTGGCAGAGCCAGCTGGAACAGCAACTATTAGAATCTGTTAAAATCTGATGAAATGTCAAAAAGAAGCATATTGTGGACAGAAGCAGGTGAGAGGGAAAAAGAAAAACAGAGAAAATATCGGTTCATTGGCATGAGGCATGCCAGCAAATATGGACAGAGCCATCAGCCATGTGCAGAGTATTAACACACTGCCCCATAAATATCCAAACTGGATTTGTAGCACATACCTTTTATACCATAATTTGATTTGACTTGAAATCTGTAGTAAAAAGTAAGTAAGTACATTTACTCAAGGACTGTTCTTACAGTGGAGTCAGAAAGTGTTCAGACTCCTTCAATTATTTCACATTTTGTTGTGCCTGACTTTTATTTATAATGGACTATTTTCTCATTGCTACATTAGTACTTTCACTATTGGTACTCAAGTAAAGGTTCTGAATACTTCGTCCACCACTGCTTGGAATGGAACCCACATCTCTTGTGTTCAATTTGGAAAGGCCTACAGCACAAATTTGTAGAACCAGTTATACTTGGTATGGGTTCTGGATAATTTGAAACTAAATATTAAACCAATTACCTGGTGGACTTGTTAAAATTAGGTGTTAGTGTTGCTAAATTCATTTTCATGCTTGCAGCCAATTGCGGTGCTCAGATTTTACCGTGTTGTTTGAATATGAATTGTAGTCCATCGGTGTGAAATAAGAGTGATGAGAAAGGAAAAAGTATACTCATAAGTGGGTCAGCACCACAAGAAAGCAGGTGGAAAATATTTCACTGATAAGACTGATTGAATGGAAAGGTCATTATGTGTGTGTTGCCAATTAATCATTATTCCATTAATGAGATTAATCGCTCTTTCCTAAAACCCCAACAGCAGAACCAGCACTGCCCTTTTCAGTACTTTAAGCTTTGTGCTAAATTGATGATGTCCAGTAGCATCCAGGATATTCCTTTTCAACACATACTGCACAACTCTGCCTTATAGCAAGATCTAACGTATCACTCCTATAAATCCCCGTCATTCCTCCGAGAATGGAACAGAAGCTTTATGACCCAAGAGAACTGAGAGACTTTGCCATTATTCCATCCATCTATCACTGGGACGCCTAATACTCCAGCTACTTTGCTGATATTCAAGCAGTGTATGTGATTCAAATTTAACTCAGGTTAGTGCAAGAACTATATGGGTAGAAGTGCAGAATTTCACTAAAAGCATTACTTTTATTCCAGTACATTAAGCAGAGCTCATGCAGTTCTTCCTTTCCCTTACTTGAACTCTGCTTATTATCAAAGGTCTAACCTCCAGTCCCTTATCTGAGGAGTACAGATAGTTTGCAGTTTGTTGAAGTTGGCTGCGATGTGCTGTGGCAGTCAGATTTAAAAGACATTAAATGCAGAGGGAGTTCTGAGAGGGCATAAAATGTTTCCCCTGGGCAGTGATCGAGAGATAATGGTTGTTTTTGGATTGACAGCAGACAAATTTGTCATCACTCTGGTGAATGGTTGTCAGATTTCAAACACAGTTTCCAGGTATGCTGTGTGTGGATGAAAGCCTCTGCTGCCATGTGTTTTCAGTGAGTGATGAGCTTCTCTTTGCCCCAAAATATTTTCATTGGCTGCAGGCTGCAGTGCCATTTGACCTGAGCTGAGAACAATAATGATATTTAATTCTAAGCACTATGTAGAAACCAGGTCCTGCTCTGAGACCATAGATGGAGTTTCAGACAAGAAAAAACAAAATGAATACATAAATCTAGGCAAGTGTTTGTATGCACACAAATACCAGATTAACAAAGGAAGAGGGGAAAAGAAAAAAGAAAAACATAAGAGACAAGAGGACAAACTAACTTCATAAACACGTGTACATGAAGGCTAGCACATCTGCTGCAGATGTTAAAGGATAAAGTCACTGTGTGCGTGTGTGTCCTGGTCAGAAATGATGAGGGCTGTCAAGGGGAAGAAGAAAAATAGATAAACCACAACCAATACAACGGGAGGATGCAGAGCTACAAGCAGGAAAACAGGACTGTGGTCCAAGATTTAAACTCAACACCACTGCTTCCCCCGAGGATTCTTGGAAAGGCCTGAAACACAACATTTCGAGCATGTGATGCTGAAGTTCCTAATTGAGGCATTTTAAAAGCATTTTCACTACAGTACATTAAAAACCAATGCTTCAGACAAGACGTTTGACCTTGTAAAACTAAAATCAGCCTTCACACTAACAGGTTTTGAACTAACAGAAATCTGATGAAAGAGCTCTTTTTGATTTCAAGAGTGCAAACCAAGATACTGTTATGCAAACACAGTAAGCAATTCATGCTGCTTTAATCAAGTTTTGACTACGACAGAATGTAGACTCCAAAACAAACTGAAAGTAAGAGACCTTGATATTAAGTTTTATTTTTCAGCAGACATGTGCGTCATGTTGTATGACATCATGTACAGCATGTGATATTTGTATAAGAAAATTGGTCTCTTTGACTTGCTAAATTTCTCCACCAGCTAGCTACCTCTGTATTTTTGTCAGTGATTTTCATCTTACACTGATATAGTGTGCACCAGAAGTGGGGAAAAGAGTTTGAGATTAGCCATGCTGCTGTGCTAGCTACCGGACACTGCTAGCTGTATTTAGCTAATATCTATGGCTAGCTGTTCTAGCTTTGCTACCACAAACTTACAATCATTTTTCACAGCAGACATTGTGACTTAAATGATGTTTCCATTACATTGATGAGCTAAGTTAACATTATTGGCAAACAAAGTTGTTAGGAATTTTCCTCGCTCAGACAGGACAGGACAACATTCAGTGCAGCTATAATAAAACCATCATGTAGATGAAACCTATGAAAATACACAAAATTCCATATAACTTTAAAAATATAAGCTACAAAGAAAATATGACTTAAATTGTCAAAGATTTACATTTCAACCCAATAACCTTAACAAATATAAAAATATCACAAATAGTTAAAAACAATAACATAGAAAAACAAACCTCTATTAAAATGTCTCTTATCTTGCCAATTCTGAATGGTTTCGATCAATGTGTTACAGCAGAGCTCTAAACTAAACTGCACCTAACATTAAATCGAATGCATTCATAACTAATTCATGTTATTTAATTACACCAGTGCTGTTCCTACAATGATATGTTGTATTTACAATGATATGTAATGAATGAAAAGCCTCCGAGCCTACTGCCTATGAGGATCTATTTCTACAGTGCCAGTTTTAAATGGTGCCTGCCAATGGTAAGAGGCATCTGTCAAAAACCATATACCAGTAAAACCAAGTAGGCTAATGTATACCATTTAAGTATACCTGAATATACCACTGCCATGTTGAAGCAAGAATTTTTCCAATTCTCCGAAGACACGTAAATGTCCGTGCAGGTCAATGTTGAGAGTGGTGTTATGAGCATCATAGCAAGTTCATTAGCTGATCCAACTCAAAACACATTTATGCACTTGAAGTGTAAAAGAAATCAAGTAACCCACACAAACATTTCCCTACATGCAGTTCGAAGAAGCATATTTCATTCATAGAAAGGCTTGGGCCATGTTGTCCTAGGTTGTATTTTTATGATGTTCCTTCTTTTACTAATGTGCAGTGATGCACCGCAACTCCCCAGTGAAGCCAATTTTGATAAAGCCTATTTAAAACCACATTTATATGATGTATTTAACCTTTTGGGTGGAGTTTGTATTCATCTAAGTCTGGCTGGTCATCATTGGCCCCTCGAGGAGAAATGCGTAGGAATGGAATAGATGGAGTTTGTTTAACCAAAGGCAGAATCTGATGTTGTCATTTTGTATTCTCATTAAGAATTTACTTAGTCATTCAAGTATTAGATTTTGGATGTTGAACTGGATTGTGATTTGTTGGATCTGCTTTGAAATCAAGAAGTGCAGCCAAAAGTTGACATCAGGAGACAGGAGAATGAAATTGTGACCACCATCAATATCAGCTTCATGGGCTCTTGTACAAAAAACACACAGGCACAAACAGCCTTTTAAATTTGTCCAGAGATGTTGAAAATGAGTGTATTTTCAGCCAAACTAATGCTATCACATCTATCCATAATGACACAGCACTGAAACATCATATGTCAGCAATTTTCCATTGTGTGTCAGATCTTCTGTAGCTTTCAGTCAAGGTCTGTGCACAGAGCAAACTGCAGATCCTTTCTATAAAAAAAGGGGCAGAGGGCCACGCTTGCTTGATTGAGACCAGGCCCAGCTGACTTTCCACACGTGGATCTTCCATTATAAAGTCAGCTACTTTTCAAATCGGTTCCTCAGTGCCAGTAACCTAGTCTTGGCATTATTGTATTCATTTAAAAAGTGCTAATTTCCATACATTTGAATATTGCACAAAATCACTTAATTACTGGAACATTACAACCTCATTAAGAAAAAAAATGTGGTTGCGAAAGAATGCAGGTCTTGTGTTGCTGTTTTCCACATGCTGCTTTTTTGTTTCTTTCTGATAGAAGTGGGTCACATGCTATTTGGGCTGGAAAAAGTTAGACTAAATTCTAAAGAGCTGAAATCATCGCAAGAATAAGTTGAAGGTTGAAGGGAGAAAAGCAAGAGAAGAAAAAGGGCGAGAATCAGATCCTCAAAACCAAGAATTTTACAAGAAAAGTTTTATTTCTGTTATTTGGAAATATTTACAGTAAGAAAGATAGATTGTGAAAGTGTTGTCTTTTTGTTATATCAATTTTCCTTCAGTGTGATTCTTCAAAAATGCAAAATATATGTTTTCTAACTTAAGAACACATAAAAGTATCTGTAAAAAAAAAAGAAAAAAGTTTTATCTCACACACTGCTAATTAAGGCTGTGGCTGCATTACATTGTGGAGAAACTG